ACAATAGTTGTTTTCTGAGTTTTACTCTCATGTTAATAAATGTAAAGCTTTTGTACCAGAATAAGTAAAACTTAATTATGATTATTTATTTGAATTAACTTTAAAGAAAAGATAAAATAATCATACCAAGAAACATTGTATAAATTTTCATAAGTATTGGGGTTTTTTTAATATAAGTATTAGAAAGTATTTTTTTATAAAGTATTAGAAAGTATTTTTATAAGTATTAGAATGCTAATTGGGTTTAAATGTTTATCTAATTTAAGGAAAACATATTAGTTAACTCTTAATATTTATCTTTCAATGACATTGCATAAAAAATAACTTTGCAGTGTTGTGAATAATTACCAAACTTGAATTGTGAACTAAAATAGACCTCAGTAGGTTGAGGTGCAATATTTGGACTAGTTCTTTAGAATATATTTGCATGTAATATTTTAATAACTACTGAATGTGTGTGCTTCTCATATGGCAGTTTTGTTTTCTGTATTACTTAGATCATCGATTTTCTTCTTGTCAGATGCTAACATCAGAGAAGTAGGCCTTGAAGGGGCCTTATTGACCTTACTTGACAAAGAGACAGATGGGAGATTATGCCATGATATCAAAGAGACATTAAACCATATGCTCACATCTATGGCAGTGGATAAACTCTCCTTTTGGTTAAAGCTTTGTAAAGATGTACTTGCTGCATCAGCTGGTAAGTATTGGCGATTACCAGCCAACATAATAAAATTAAAAGTAAGAGCATTATCTAAAATTGGTTGCTAGTGACAGTTTATCAATCTGGATATTTGGGTTATAATGGCTTGTTGTTTTTTTTAATGGAGATTCTAGTCCAACACTTAAAAGCCTACTTTTTTTTTTTCTTATAATTGTCTTATATGACTTTCCTGTGAAAAACAAACTAAAAATTAGAATTGTTATTTATGCTATAAAAGGGATAACCTAACTTACAGCAGCCCCATCATTTATTTTCATACATATGAGAAATATTTGAGGTGTTGCCTCAAATCAACTTAATAGAAAACTCACCAAGAGTTATGACATTTTGAGCAAGCCAGTTTCTCTACTCTTAATAATGTTAATTTAAATATATTAATAGTGTTGTTTCTCTAATGTCTTTGTTAGTACAAGATAATTATTAGTGAGAAAGTGTGTTAGAGTCTTTAAAATTTATATCCTGGACTAAGAAAATAAATGAGGAAGAAAGAGGATAGAAACCAATTCTGTTCCAGGTATTGTACATATTTTATATGATTTAATCCTTTAACCATCCTATGAGTAGGCAGTATTATTCCATTTTACACGAGAGAAAACAAGACTTGGAAATGTTAAGTAATTTTCCCAAAGACACACACAGATGTATTCAAACCTTAGCCTACATGACTTTAAAATCTTAACTTTTCATAATATTTCAGTAGCTCTCAACTCAGTTACTTAAGCCTTATAATTTAATGTCACTTTGGTCTCTGAGTTAAGTTACGTGAAAGGAAGAAAGGTACCATAAAATTTTGGGCATTTTAAAAAATATTCTTCTCTGTCTACCTCTGTTCTTCTTGGTACTCTTCCAGTGATTTATACCTGCTCTTTCAACCATTATGCTCTATATGTTTTCCTTCTTCAATGTTCTCCTCTATCCCCACTACTTAAGAACTTGGAAGGACTTCTTCAAAATAAAAAAATATATGTGCATAGATAGGTTGATTATACTTTTCTGGTATCTTACCTATCTTTTAAAAAATTTTTAATAGCTCAATTTTATTTCACCATTTATTCTTTATCCTTTGTAGTTTGCCTCTATCCCTTTTTATTAGGAAAACCCACATTTCAGTCTCTGTTTGCTTCTCAGTTTTAAGACAGGAGTTCGCCTTAACTTTATTTGTAACATCATTGCTATCTATTGTATCACACTCAAAAAATGTTGACATACAAGATAATTTAAGGAAAACAAGTTGGTTTGTTTTATAGCATAAGTTCCAATTTAAGTCGAGTTAAACAGTTAATAAGTTAGCAGTTAGTATAATATTAAGGGGAAATAATTTACTACTTAATGGCTCTGGCCATCAGGACAATTTGAGACTGTAATTACAGCAATGGGTCTGTACTGAAAAAAACATTTTTGGACATTTTTAGTGGGTTCAGGAACCTTCTTAAATTCATTCAAGGCCCCAGTGTTAAAACAACATCTCTAGTTCTATCCACCACACTCCCTACTAGGGAATTCTGAGCTTCCTTAAGCATATCCATCTACATACAGGGGATTGATAATTATTCTAGTATCATGTTCAGTTTTCACTTTAAATATAATTTAACAACTTTGTCATTTTTTAAGAATAGTTCTTTTTAGCATTTCTTTAGATACCACTGTTACTAGTAGTCATTTTGATCAACAGTAATTCTAGTCTGTACTTGAAGTCATTGTGTCCCTTTATAAATATATCTTCCAACTGATTGTGATTATGTGTATTCTCCCTTGATAAAAGATTTTACAACTGTAACTTGTGTGGATACAATGCAAGAAGAGGAAGGAGATAAAGGGGATGATGCTTCAGTTCTGACCATCAGAAATGATGGCAGACCTCATCCTTTTACAAATCCGCGATGGGCTACAAGAGTCTTTGCTGCTGAATGTGTCTGCAGGATAATTAACCAGTGTGAGAATGCACACAGTGCACATTTTGACATCGCTTTAGCACAAGAAATGAAAAAAAGGGATTCAAGAAGTAAGTGGCATAATAATGAAAAGACCAAATGATATACATTGAAATGCTGTCTGCCTATAGTATATTTTTAATGTTCAAATACATTTTTAATGATTAAACTTCTTAAATTCGCATTCACTTTTGTTTAGTGGACATATGTGATATATTAAGTTTATAGAGAATAGTCATGTTCTTGGAAAGTAGTATGTACGTTAGCTAGTTGCCAAATTTTATTTTCTAAATTTTATTTTCTGAATTGTAACTTAGAGCAGTTTTGCTCATAGATTATTTTGGTTTCAAGGATATTACCTAGAAAATATTTAAGTCTATCTCAATGTAAAGTAAACCGAGTCGTAAGACCATTTTGACCTTTTATTGTTCAGTTTTATTATTTTTACCTAAATGCGTGTGGGTTATGGTTTAATGTCTAATTTTTTAAAATCACTTAAGCACATATGTTCAAAGACTCAATGCTCATGTCTCAGTGCCTTGGAAATATTCTTTACCTGACAAAAGAATCATAAGGCAAGATGTTGTTATGGTCAGTCTGAGAGTATGAATTAAGTATTTCTATTTTAATTGTTTTTCAAGCAAGCATTTATTGAGTCTCTTATTTGTGATGAGCACTATTCTGATATATGTGCTTACTGACTCCTGTGCTCCCAATTAAAACTGTAATTGGCACTTACTAAGATGAGTTGGTTTCTTCAGTGTGACCTATAACTAGTATACTTCTTTGAATTAGTCTCACATATTTTTTAGGTAAAGGTTAGTTGTACCTGTAAACATTTTATTGTTGGAACAGTGTTAAATGATTGTCTTATGTCTCTCCCCAGTAGAATTATTATACCAAAGAATATGTTGTAGGCGTGAAAGGAATTATCATTTATAATTTCAAAGCTAGAAATATTTTTATGCTCCCATCATTTGTGTGTGTGGCAGGACATGCAAAAAAGTAAGGTAATGTAGTCCATATAAAGAACCACATAAAACTTTTTTTAAAGGGACATTAAGTCTTTTAGCCTCAACTTGATGTAAAGAGGATGATTAAATTACTGCCTAATTCATCAAAACCCAGTCTCCTAAGTACCTTCTAATGTACTTTTATCAGAAAGTCTGAACAAAATTTTTATTGAAGGTACTATTAGTACTCTTTTAAAGGATGCTAATTCTGCCTTTGTTTTTGAATAGCTGCATAATTACTTGCTTTGGGATAGTTGTTTGTATGTGAGTATTTGCACTGGTGCAGTAAAGCCAGTTTAAAGTCTGTATTTAACAAACAGTAAAATGTAAATCAAATCAGAAGTACTTAAAAGAAAGTCTAGGTTATGAAATTAAAAGGAGGAAAAATTATCACTTAACATAAATCTTAGTTCCAGCGTATTCTTTTTCTTAATAAGATATTTTTTTTAATATTGCAGATGACTTTTTGGTGCTACATCTTGCTGACTTAATTCGCATGGCTTTTATGGCTGCCACAGATCACAGTGATCAGCTCCGTCTTTCTGGCCTTGAAACACTGTTAGTTGTTATTCGGCGATTTGCAACTATTCCAGAACCAGAGTTTCCAGGTCATGTGATTCTGGAACAGTATCAAGCCAATGTAAGCTCTTTCTACTAGAGAATTTTATTATTATTAAAAGTCTGTGAAACTAATTGGCATGTCACCTTTTAATACGTAAATGAGTATGTATCTCTGCTAATATATCACCAGTATAATCAGTATATGTTTAAAGAAGAAATCTTCATGTAAAAGCAAAATAATACATAAAACAGGTCTTTTATAACACTAAAGGTTAATTTTCATAATTAAAACCTTTTTGGTAATTTTGGGGGAATAAAGGGCTTTTTTAAAAAATTAACATTCATTTACTAAGTTAATCTTTAACAATAACCCTGTGGAATAGGCATTGTTCTTTTTTTTTTTAAATTTTATTTATTTTTGGCTGCGTTGGGTCTTCATTGCTGTGCGCGGGCTTTCTCTGGTTGTTGCGAGCGGGGGCTACTCTTTGTTGCAGTGCACAGGCTTCTCATTGCAGTGGCTTCTCTTGTTGCGGAGCACGGGCTCTAGGCACGCGGGCTTCAGTAGTTGCAGCATGCTGGCCCTAGAGCGCACAGGCTTCATTAGTTGTGGCGCATGGGCTCTAGAGCACAGGCTCAGTAGTTGTGGCCACAGGCTTAGTTGCTCCACGGCATGTGGGATATTCCCGGACCAGGGCATGAACCCGTGTCACCTGCATCGGCAGGCGGACTCTCAACCACTGTGCCACCAGGGAAGCCCTCTGTAAGCTTTTTACTGGTGTTTTTTTGACTGGTGCATTAAGCAGCCTAGGAGGAACAAGGAAGATAACAAAATCATCACATATTATATCACACACATCACATGTAATCCTTCAGTAGCATTCATCCAAGGATACCTCTCATGATTCAAAGGCAGCTTCTGATGGCTGGCAGTTAGGGAATCCAGAGCAGTTCACCAGTTGGTTAGCAGGCTCCATCACATCTTCCCAGCAGGTAATGCCAATGTGTGAAATAGGGAAAGAGCAAAAGGAAGGGACAGGAGTTAGATACAACTAATCACATTAGACTAAAATATTATAATTCAACTTACTTAAAGGGAGCTCTGTTATATATATATTTTTATTATTAATTAATTTATTTGTATGTTTATTTTTGGCTGTGTTGGGTCTTTGTTTCTGTGCGAGGGCTTTCTCTAGTTGTGGCAAGCGGGGGCCACTCTTCATCGCGGTGCGCGGGCCTCTCACCATCGTGGCCTCTCTTGTTGCGGAGCACAGGCTCCAGCTGCACAGGCTCAGTAGTTGTGGCTCTCGGGCCCAGTTGCTCCGCAGCATGTGGGATCCTCCCAGACCAGGGCTCGAACCCATGTCCCCTGCATTGGCAGGCAGATTCTCAACCACTGCGCTGCCAGGGAAGCCCCTGTTATATTTTTAATGCTCTTAAAATTGCAAATGATAGAAATAAAATTACCACTCACTTAAGGAGAAAAGGAAAATTGTTTTCAGGAACCGTAGTTGGCTCTGCTTTCTTCTGCACTGGCTTTATTCTCAAGTTTGCCCTCTCCAAGTGGTATCAAGATGGCTCTCTTGGCATCCAGAGTCTTTTAAAGAGAGAGCTTCTTTCCTAGTACTCCTAGCAAATGTCCTCAGGAGAGCTTTCATTATCCCAGTGTGGGTCCCTGGAGCCAGACAGTGCTCACAACTCCATAGCAACAACATGGGCTGAGAGTTGTGGAGCGAGAAAGTTCCCCAAAGGAAAACTTGGATGCACTTAGCTAAAAACGGGAAGATTTGCTGGGCAGGCAAAAACAAAAGATGTTCATAATACATATGATAAATAACTAATTTTAAAAAAACTAATTTTAAAATAACATTAAAATGAGAAAAAGTTTGTGCTGTCTTACTTTTTGATGCTTGAATGAGCCTGTAATGTCTTGCCAGGTAGGAGCGGCACTTAGACCAGCCTTCACCTCAGAGACGCCACCTGATGTCACTGCCAAAGCATGTCAGGTAAATGGTTAAAAAGATAAATTTTAAGAAAAACCCTCTCTTAGGAAGCAGCTCTCCAGTTAGTATTTGATACCAAGGTTCTACGTTATAGTTGTCTAACCATTAATCTCAGTTGTCCCTTTTCCTTTACTTTTTAAGTTTAGAGAACTTTTTCTTTCTTATAACTGCATGGTAATCCAATATATGGGTATGTCACCAGCTCCTTAGTGATGGAAATATGGGTATTTTTGTCTTTTGCTATTATGGATACTGCTGCAGTGAATGACCTTCTTTCTGCATAGGTCATTTCACTGGGTCTAAGCATATCTGTGAGATAAATTCCCTAAAATTGAATTACTGGGTTCAAGAGTATATTACAGGAGTTTACCAATTTAAACTCCTACCAGCACTGTATGTAAGTGCCTATTTCCCCAAAGTCTCAGCAGCATTGTGAGTTGTCAAACTTAGATTTTTGTGTATATGATGGAGTAAAAAGGGTATCTCAGGATAGTTTAGATTTGTATTTCAAGTGAGGCTGAGCTTTTTTTCATATAGTTGAGAGCCATATAATATACAGTTTTAAATAGTTGCTTTTCTTGGTGTGGTTGTCAGACATTCAATATCCAGACCTGAATGGCCTGAAATAATTAAAAGCAGAACTGATGTGAATTAAATTAATTATAATTTTACTCAGTATTTTCAAATTTCTAAATTCATTTGTATTTAGGAAATGTTTGAGAGCCTTCAAATATCCATAGAAGTGTGTTAACTGTTGTCCTGAGTCTAATTTATCATCGTTTTTATTATATGTGTTCTCGCTGTAAGCCACTTGAAATCTTTTGTGAAATGAGATGCACACTAAATAAATATAAAAGAAAAATAAATTTTCTGTAGTAAAAGAGAAATATGGTGACACCCAGGAAAACCTTTATAGATAACCTCTGATAATTGAGTAAACTTTTTGAATTGGAGAATTATTAATGATGTTTTGTTTTTAAAATTAAAAATATCTTCAAAAGAATCAAAATCTTCATTGAGGTTTAAATGGTAGGTAATTTATCTTTCAAGAAAGATAAAATAATTAACCATGCAATTAATCGCTGTTTTTAAAATAATAAGATGAAATAGTCAAGATTGGAGATATAATTCAGATGTTAATCCAAACATTTATGAAAGTGATGCCTTTCATGGCTTAATTTCACTGTGTTAATAACATCTGAAACTCTGATTTATATACTTATTAGCACAGTTTCCTTTCTTCAACCTTAAGACTTCATTCCCGTTTGAAATGCTGGCTTTGACTATCATTATCACCAGTATCCCTTGGGGTTTCTTGATAGCAAGATGATTTCAATGACCAGATTCCTGAGATATGGGTGAGTTTTGCTGAACTCACAAAGGGGGTGTTTATAATTTTTATAATTTTTAAATATAACCTTTGATTTTCTTAAAAAACTAGGTTTGCAGTGCCTGGATAGCAAGTGGAGTTGTAAGTGACCTTAATGATCTCCGAAGAGTTCATCAGTTGCTTGTTGCATCATTAACAAAAATTCAGGTTGGAAAAGAAGCTCTAAGTCACTTATATAATGAAAGTGCTTCTACCATGGAGATCTTAGCTGTGCTAAAAGCCTGGGCAGAGGTTAGTACTTCTAGAATTTTGGAAGTTGTTAATAAACATCTTAGGCCATAAACTGAAGTTAGCTATTTAAAACACAAATAAGTCTATGTTTAAGGTTGACAGAAGACTTTCAATATGAGGTGTATTTATATGCTAATTGATATTTTGGCCAAGGATTCTAAAGTGCCCTCTGTTGTCTGTTATCTGCTGCTTTAAGCAGGGGTAGTCATGAGAGACATTAATAATAGCCAATGGAAATCAACTTTTATTGAAACCTGAATTATTGGAAATGTGGGTTTGCTCATATATTCTGTCAACTCTATAACACATATGTTAATATTTTTTAGTGCTCTTTCATAAAGTGACTTGAATATTAAGTTGGTTTATTTCCTAAGATTAGAGAAATCTTAGAGGGAAGTGCTTAACTCTTCTTTATTTACTTTTCTAATCAGGAAGAAAACTATATAATTTTTAAATTTACGATGGAAATGTTTACACAGAATAGTACAGTGAACTCATATATACCCGTCATCCAGCTTCAGCAGTTACCAGACTTGGCCAGTCTTGGTTCATGTATCACTTTAATGAAGTATATAGTCTCAGATTGCAACTGAGAGAATTAACCAACATATAAGAAAGGGTTTCCTTCAGTGGGGCTAATCAAAATCAGAAGATTGTAAAGTGTCTATTTTTGTCATTATTTAGTGTTGACAAATCTCAGGAAGTAGTTCTGCCTAGATTTAATAAGTTGGATCTAATGATCTTTAACAGTCAACTCTAAATGCTTTAAACATATGCTTTTAATAGAGCAAACAGAGATTCTGTAATTTCTGTAACCTATTTTATAAATTACTCTGTGCTTATATAGTGTTCTTTGTAATAATTTGAAACTCTGTACTCTTGCTTAAGCCATTACTTTCTCCTATTCTCTCCTTAGTGAAAGTAATGACTAGCCAACAAGTTCCATGTAATTGAGGTCCATAATTATCTGAAATCCTTGGAGCCAGATATATTTGGGATTTAAAATTTGGCTGCATATTTCATGTATTCATCTAGGATGTCTGGGACAATACCATAGAATCTGTAATCAAACACTTAAATATATCTGTGTGAAATGTTTGAATATTCACGTTGTATAAATAGCTTCACATAAATTTTTTTGTGTTTTGCCACCAGATTGATTTGCCGACAAACTTAGATTTTTCAGAGCTTTTTGGATTTTGGAGTTATGGATAAAGAGATAGTACACATTATGTACAATGTTGAATACTTTAACATTCTGTAGTCCATGTTAAATCTATATAGTTAAACTTTTTATAGTAATTTGGTGGTAACATTGAAAGAAGATATTCAGCTTATTTCAATTCAGAGATGGCTGCCTGTAGCCATATTTTGAAATGGATTACAAGGCCATGTCTAGGCTTAGTAAAAAAGAGTGCCATGATCATTTAATTATAGCTGTCATGGTTGTAAACTGCAAGGTGGCAGCATATTTGTCAAATGTTTATTATCCCTCATATATCTCACTGAAGATAATGCTTTTGGATCTTTCTACCCTAGTTTTGTGTGTGTGGTTACATATGTATACCTTCTTGGTATCACAATACATTTTAAGTCCAGGAGGCAGGCTCAAGGTAAGTCTGCCTCTTCAGCAAGATAAAAATATTGTAACACCTTTTCAGTGGGTACGAGATTTTCCTATTTATAAAGTAACCTTTATACAGGTCTACATAATTGCTGTAGAAAGACATAAAAACCACAAACAACCTTTGAAGACTACCTGTTCAGAAGAGTGTGTCGGAAACGGGTCGATTTCATCAGACGGGCTGCTTGACTTAGTCCACGCAGATCTTGGCACATTAAGTAGGCTCTGGCTTGCTGCGCTTCAGGATTTTGCTCTCCTAACTTTGCCTTCAGAATTTGCCTCCCAGCTTCCTGTTGAAGGTAAGGGGGGAAAATATTTACATAATCCCTAGAATGACAGTCAATAACATGTATTTTCAAAATTTCTCCGTTAGCAGGTAATGTTTATCTGAAACATTTTCCCAGAATAATTTTCATTCATCGAATAAGCACGGGAGAGTTGCTTCAGGGTGGAGACCCTGAAGTTGAATCTCTAAGTCATAAGGTATGCTCATCTTACCTCACAAGACACTGCCAAATCGCTCTCCAAAGTGGTTACAACAATGTATGTGCAACATACATTGCATACAAACAACATACATTACAAACAGCAACATGCTTCTGTTTTTCTACATCTTCCCATCATTATATGTTATCATTGTTAATAATTTTTGTCAATCTGATGAGTATGAAAGAGTTTCATTGGTTTATTTCCTAGATTGGGAATCTTTTTTCATTGGTTTATGGGACGTTTAAGTTTCTTTTTCCATAAATCACCTAGTCATAATCTTTGCCCATTTTCTACTATTTGACATTTTCTTACTGACTTATTAATCCTTTACATATGTTTAATACTATTCCTTTGTGATTCCATATCTTGCAGGTATCTTCTCTCAGCCTGTAGTTTGCTCTTTTATCTTTTTAAAAGTAATATAATCAGTTGTTTATGGTTTTTGTATAGTGCCTGATACTTCTTTGTAACTTAAGGTCATAAAGAAATATAAGCTTTACAGTTTTGCTTTTTACATTTTGGACTTTAGTCCAGCTAGAATTTATATTATGTGTGTGGAATGAGGATAGGGATCAAATTTTATTTTTTAATTTTAAAAAATTTTTAAATTAATTTTTATTGGAGTATAGTTGCTTTACAATGTTGTGTTAGTTTCTGCTGTACAGCAAAGTGAATCAGTTATACATATACATATATCTACTCTTTTTTTAGATTCCCTTAGGGATCTAATTTTATAGTCAGTTATTAATATTGCATTTTATGGATTGGATATTTGGTAGCTGCTTTTAATTTTCATGTTATTCCAAAATGGCTATTATTTTTTTTTACTCTTTGCTATGAATTTTAGGGTCAGCCTATCAAGTTCTGTTAGAATTTTAATTGGAATTATACACAAAGAGATATGTGGAGTGTTTATTGTACTTTGTACCTTTCAATAGCATTAAAAATGGAAACAAAATGGAAATAAACTGATTTATTGACATAATTTATCAGCAAATGTTAATGACACATAAATCATCAAAACGTAGTGTTGGGGGGAAAGCAAGTTTAAAAAGGATACACACAGTATGAGGCTTTTAAGGAAACTCACACAAGAAATAACAGCATCTATTATTTATGAATACAGACGTCTAGAGTGAAAGTGTAAGACCATAATGAGAGTGATTCACAGTGACTTGAGGAAAGTGGTTACAAAAGGACGGGCAAGAATTAGTGGTGTACAAAGTTTTAGGAGTTTTTTGTTTGTTTTCTAAGAAAGAGATTTAAGAAAGACAAAATGTTAATCTTGGAGATAGGTAAATAGGTATCTGTTTTATACGTGCATACACATACTCTGGTTTCTTTTCAGATCCTATAAGTCTTTCACCTTCTAAACACGCATATACACATCACATATTTGTTTTAAAATATTTTGTGATTAAAAATAAAAAGTGGGGCTTCCCTGGTGGCGCACTGGTTGAGAGTTCGCCTGCCGATGCAGGGGACACAGGTTCGTGCCCTGGTCCGGGAAGATCCCACATGCCGCTAAGCGGCTAGGCCCGTGAGCCATGGCCGCTGAGCCTGTGCGTCCAGAGCCTCTGCTCCACAACGGGAGAGACCACAACAGTGAGAGGCCCACGTACCGCAAAAAATAATAATAATAAAATAAAAAGTTAAGAATTAGCCTGCAAATTTTCTTACAAAGTTGTAAGGATACATCAGCTCTGTGACCCAACAGTTGTATGCTCAGGAGAAATAAAATCATTGATAACAAAATATTGATAATGTAGCAGCATGGATGAATCTCTGAAAACATTGTTAAACAAAAACTTAGTCACAGGGACCTCCCCTGGTGATCCAGTGGTTAAGACTTCGCCTTCCAATGCAGGGGGTGCAGGTTTGATCCCTGGTTGGGGAGCTAAGATCCCACATGCATAGTAGCCAAAAAAACCTGAAACATGATACAGAAGCAGTATTATAACAAATTCAATAAAAACTTTTTTTTAACTTATTTATTTTTATTTATTTATTTGGCTGTGTTGCGTCTTGGTTGCTGCGTGCGGGCTTTCTCTAGTTGCGGCGAGCAGGGGCTACTCTTCCTTGCGGTGTGTGGGTTTCTCATTGCAATGGCTTCTCTTGTTTCGGAGCACGGGCTCTAGGCGTGCAGGCTTCAGTAGTTGTGGCAAACAGGCTCAGTAGTTGTGGCGCTCGGGCTTAGTTGCTCCACGGCATGTGAGATCTTCCTGGACCAGGGCTCGAACCCGTGTCCCCTGCATTGGCAGGCGGATTCTTAACCACCACACCACCAGGGAAGTCCCGAAAAAAAGCTTTTAAAATGGCCAACATCAAAAAAAAGGGGTTTCCCTGGTGGCACAGTGGTTAAGAATCCACTAATGCAGGGGTTACAGGTTCGAGCCCCGGTCCGGGAAGATCCCACATGCCGCAGAGCAACTAAGCCCGTGTGCCGCAACTACTGAGCCTGCGTTCTAGAGTCTGCGAGCCACAACTACTGAGCCCGCGTGCCTAGAGCCCATGCTCCGCAGCAAGAGAAGCCACCGCAGTGAGAAGCCCACGCACTGCAACGAAGAGTAGCCCCCACTCACTGCAACTAGAGAAAGCCTGTGCACAGCAATGAAGACCCAACGCAGCCAAAAATAAATAAATAAAATAAATAAATTTATTTTTAAAAAAAACCTCAGTCACAAACAAGTGCATACTGGATATTTTTCCATTTCTGTGAAGTCCAAGCACAGGCAAAACGTCTGTGGTGATAAAAGTCAAAAAGTAGTTGCCGGGCTTCTCTGGTGGCACAGTGGTTAAGAATCTGCCTGCCAGTGCAGGGGACACGTGTTTGAGCCCTGGTCCAGGAAGATCCCACATGCTGAGGAGCAACTAATAAGCCTGTGCGCCACAACTACTGAGCCTGTGCTCTAGAACCCGCGAGCCACAACTGCTGAGCCCTCGTGCCACAACTACTGAAGTCCGTGCGCCTAGAGCCCGTGCTCTGCAGCAAGAGAATCCACGGCAATGAGAAGCCCACACACTGCAATGAAGAGTAGCCGAAGCTCGCCACAACTAGAGAAACCCTGCGCAGCAACAAAGACCCAACACAGCCAAAAAATAATAATAAAATAAATGGATAAATTAAAAAAAAAAAAGTAGTTGCCTTGAGGTGTAGGGGACTGACTGGAAAGGGTCACAAAGGAAATTTTGGGATGATGGAAATGGTCTATATCTTGTAACAGATAAAACGGAAAATGTAGTGTGAGCTCATCTCTTCGTTTATTCCTCCTGAAACTGTTTGCTTTCCCTTTTTTGTAGGTGGTGCTTTCTACACAGCAGAGACTAGTGAAAACGCAAAATCGCATTATTACAACTCCTGGGCGTTTATCCTCCATGCTACAGCACTGTGGCTTACAAGCACAGGCTTTGTTGTTGCTGACCCAGATGAGGGAGCACCTAATCTCTCAAGGCCTGTAACACCAACTTCCATGTGTCAGGGGTCATCATCTGGGGCTCCAGTAAAGTCCCCTGAGGATGTCTACACTGAGAGATTCCATCTTATTTTAGGTCAGTAAAAGACCTTACTAGCTTCTGACCCTACAGAGTTTTTCTTGAATTGTGCCCCCTGCCTATCAGCTCTTGGCAGCTATTACTTCATTCTTTATTAGGCATTAGTGATAGCCTTGATGTATACAAGTGAGTAAGCTTGTATACATCTTATAAAATTGCAAATTTCATTATATTAAGTCTAGAATGCCATTACAGGCTGGCTTTAGCATCGAGTTGAATGTATGTAAAATTTGCAAAAGAAGCCTAGTTCTTTCCACGTGCTTTTTTTTTTTTTTTGCTTTTTTTTGCGGTACGTGGGCCTCTCACTGTTGTGGCCTCTCCCGTTGCGGAGCACAGGCTCCGGACGCGCAGGCTCAGCGGCCATGGCTCACGGGCCTAGCTGCTCCGCGGCATGTGGGATCTTCCCGGATTGGGGCACGAACCCGTGTGCCCTGCATCGGCAGGCGGACTCTCAGCCACTGCGCCACCACGGAAGCCCTGTAACTTCATTTTTAAAGTGAAGTATCTTTCTAGGTACAGTGAGTTTCTAGAATAAATATTTTTCATACTTACCTTGTTCTGAGGAAACAAGTTATTAGATCATTACCTATAAATAAGTTATTGATTTAAGTGACATGTGAGAGTTATAAAGGCAAGTGATTAAGTAAGGTTTATGGTTCATAGAGCTTCTGTTATTCCTTACCAGGCCAAACATGACCGGATTTCTTATTTCCTTGGGTATGTTAAAATTTTGTTTTCGCTTGCCTTGAGATGAGAGCTTTCTAAAAACAAACATTTAGGCCTTCCCTGGTGGTCCAGTGGCGAAGACTCCGTGCTCCCAATGCAGGGGGGTGCTCCCAATGCAGGGGGCCCGGGTCCGGTCCCTAGTTTGGTCAGGGAACTAGGTCCCACGTGCCGCAACTAAGTGCATGCTGCAACGAAGATCCTGCATGAGGCAATGAAGACCCAGGGCAGCCAAATAAATAAATATTTCTTTTAAATAAAAAAATTTTTAAAGATAAAAATGAACTTTTATATAATGAAGATTGGCAGGGCATAAGCTATGCAGTACAGTATCTCAGTTCAAATTCTTGGTGTGCCCCATTGTTATGGACCTTTAGCAAACTATTTAAGCTCTGTGTGCTTAAAAGGAGTGGTAATAGGGCTTCCCTGGTGGCACAGTGGTTGAGAGTCCACCTGCCGATGCAGGGGACACGGGTTCGTGCCCTGGTCCGGGAAGATCCCACATGCCGCTGAGCCTGTGCATCTGGAGCCTGTGCTCCGCAACGGGAGAGGCCACAACAGTGAGGCCCGCGTACCACTAAAAAAAGAAAAAAAAAAAAAAAGAAAAAAAAGGAGTGGTAATAATAGTACCTACTTTCTCAGATAGTGTGAGAGTGAAATGATATACTTAAAGTGCAATGCCTGATACATGGTAATCACTCAATAAATTTTAGTCAAAATAAAGTTATGAAACTCTACATGTTAAATTCTCTGGTGCAATTTTATTGCAATTTTTGCAGTAGTGAGCAAGCCTAATTGAGATTATTATTTATGTATATGTTGATAAAAACAAACTATTAAGAGATTGCCTTATCACTTGTTTAGTCTTAAATTCATTGTGGTTTATTTGCATTACCTTTTTGCTAAGTTTATTTGTATACCTTATCAAAATAGAAAATTATTTAACTTCATAAAGTAAGAATCTCAAAGAAGCCTCGTTCTCTTTTTCTGCTTTCTACAGGAATCAGTGTGGAATTTCTGTGTTCCTTACGTTCAGATGCAACCATGGAAAGCATTACTGCTTGTTTACATGCGTTACAGGCCCTTCTAGATGTTCCTTGGCCCAGATCTAAAATTGGCAGTGATCAGGTGATTTCTTGTTTTTTGTTTGGCTTCTGTACATGTCAAGGAACAGGAACAGAAACATGTCCAGGTTACTACAGTGAATAGGGAGTAAACACGGAGAAGTAAAAAGGAGACTAAAAAACTGCACAGCTAGGCCTCAGAACTGAAATGGCATCAGCAACTGTGCTGACCCAGGAGCAGTCATGCCTCTTTCTATCTCTGCTTCTGTCGCACTTATTTCTGCTGCCACCAGCCAACCACTCCGTGCAGCAGCTCTTCATGTGAACTTTCTGCAATGATGGGAAGGTTCTATATCATACTGTCTTTGTCTCTTTCCGCTTCAGTGCACCCTGCTTTTCGTATATACCTGTATCTTATACCCCATTTCCCTGAGAGAGTTTCTTCTTGGTTCACGTAGTTATTGTCAGTTACATAGTATTCCTCTTGGCTGAGTTCTCGGATCCAAGTCTTTTTAAGAGACGACTGGCTAGTCTCTAGGTGGAGTCAGACACTAATATCAGACCCAGTTGTGACCATGGTTAAAAGATCACTGTACACAGCTGATTCACTTTGTGATACAGCAGAAACTAACACACCATTGTAAAGCAATTATACTCCAATAGAGATGTTAAAAAAAAAAAAATCACTGTACAAAGAATGGCACTTCCTTTAACTGCTTTCCCAAGAGCAACTCTGTATTGGGCAGGCACCCTTAGCATCAGGTACTACCAGTATATTGAATTGTATATTAAATTGACTCTTGGATGTTAAGAAAAATGGATGGTATGATTTCTTTTCTATACAGTTATTTAACTTATTACTACTATCGTTTATTAGGTTTAAAGTATTAATCAGGCTCCTGCCTGACTTGGATTTTACTTGAATAAATTTTAAACTTTTTCTGCTTGTTTATTCTGTATGTTAAAACAAGTATCATAGGGGCTTCCCTGGTGGCGCAGTGGTTGGAAGTCTTCCTGCTAATGCAGGGGATGCGGGTTCAAGCCCTGGTCTGGGAGGATCCCACATGCCGCGGAGCGACTGGGCCCGTGAGCCACAACTACTGAGCCTGCGCGTCTGGAGCCTGTGCTCTGCAACGGGAGAGGCTGCGATAGTGAGAGGCCCGCGCACCGCGATGAAGAGTGGCCCCCGCTTGCCAAAACTAGAGAAAGCCCTCGCACAGAAACGAAGACCCAACACAGCAAAAATAAATTAATTAATAAACTCCTACCCCCAACATCTTTAAAAAAAAAAAAGTATCATAATGACAGTTTTACTATTATTTTCAAAGATGAAAGAAAGCCACCAGAGTAACCAATAGAAAAGAAAAGGGGAAAATGAAATAGTATTTGTCCAGTGTATTTTATCCTTTAGAGAGATACTCATTCTGTGCTTAATAACTTATCCACTTTTAATGTCATACTTCGCCATCATTCTTTATTAGTACTAGAAAACTTAAATATAAATCTAGGAATCTACATGGCAGTCCGTATATACTTTTAGCCACATTTTTCATCTTGTTTTAGAAATCTCGTTTGTTTTCCCACTTTAGGACCTGTGTGAAAATGATCTTTTGTCATAGTGCCATCTCCCACAGGATTGGACAAAAACCAACCTGGAGTTGGTTTAAAGTGGAGCAAGTGTTACATAACTTCATTGCCCTAACACCTTTATTTTTTATGGACCATTGTTTCTTTCTCTGAATTTTGTCATGGCATTTAACATTGGTATTTTTTTTTTAAGTATGTAATTTTCCATATAGTCTCACCTGTTTTCTGTGATAGGACTTGGGTATCGAGTTGTTGAATGTACTACATCGAGTAATTTTGACCCGAGAATCACCTTCCATTCAGCTGGCTTCTCTTGAAGTGGTAAGGCAGATTATCTGTGCAGCTCAAGAACATGTGAAGGAGAAAAGACGAAGTGCAGAAGGTGAATGTTCCTATAATGCCAAATTAATCACACGGCATCATTATTTTTTTAAGTATTGCTTATGTGTCTATGTCGTTCTGAGAATCTGTTGTGTATGGTACAAATCTCTAGGTATGGCTTCAAATCCTCTCATGCACCTCGACGTGTTAGCTTGGATGTTGTCAGTAGGTAAACTACTATTCCTTGGGAAAATTAGAATTTTAACAGCCCTGGAAGGAAAAAAAATTCTTTATACTGATTGAGTACCTACTTTTAAGTGTTTACCAATGTACATGGAAAGAACTACTGACAATTCTTTAATAACTTAAGTTTTGCAAAGTGATTAAATTGTTCATTTACAAGTCAAATTTGGTATTGGTGAGTTTATCACTTAAGATTACATTTGACTACCTATAACAGAAAATCCAATATAACAGTAGATTTAAAACACGAGGACTTATCCTCTCATCTAAAAGAAGTCCAGAAGTTGGCAGTCCTGGGCTGAGATGGCAGCTTCTTAAAGACATCAGGGACCTCAGTTCCTATCTTTCTGCCCAGCCACTACCAATATTAAGGTGGTAAGGTCAGTGCTGGAGCTCTAGCTATCAGGTTCACACCTTAACAGCAAGGAGTTAACCAGACAATATTTTAAGGCTGAGAAGGTCACCGAGGATTTCTTTTGATCCATTGCAATAAGAAGTCCACATAAAGACAACTACTTTTACCTCCGTAACTTTCTCTTTCATTCTTTAAGACCCAAGACTTCACCCATTTAAATGTGTTACCTACAACAGAAATGAACTAAACTGCCATCTACCAGAAGCAAAACAAACCTGAAGCATTTATTCAACATTGTTCTTTTTGTCTTTTAGTTGATGATGGGGCTGCTGAAAAGGAAACCTTGCCAGAATTTGGAGAGGGAAAGGACACAGGAGGACTTGTGCCTGGGAAATCTTTGGTCTTTGCAACACTGGAATTGTGTGTATGCATTCTAGTTAGACAGCTCCCAGAGCTAAATCCTAAATTGACAGGTAGCCCAGGAGTAAAAGCTACAAAGCCACAGATGCTGTCAGAAGATGGAAGTAGGTTGGTTTCCGCTGCATTAGTTATCCTCTCTGAACTTCCTGCAGTGTGCTCTCCTGAAGGTATGTTGTGGTGTTTGATTTGCTTTACTTGACCTGGAAGGAGAGAAATGGTTTTGATAGATAATGGAGGTAATGGTTGCTTATCTTTTCCTCATTACACAAATGCTGACCCCCAAAGCTTTGCATATGGTCTTTAATCCTCTAAGGTTAACATTACAATATTCCAGTAATCTGTTTTACTAAAAGGGTGAAAGTAAATACAGAGACAGCATGTACTCTACATAGATAGTCTCTTCCATGGTTGAGAATATTGTAAACCCATCGATGGCAATTACTAGCTCTTGGGCATTTTTTGGTATACAGTATCTAATGGACTTTCCCTGCCTCAGTGACAACAGAAGCTTCTCATCATATCCAGTTCGGTTTTGAATCAAGTCCATGCTTTTAATATAGTGTTTAAGGCTCTGCAGAGTACAACTGCCTCCTGATTCCTTCTGTGTGAACCTTAAACCCAGGAGGCTTCATGCATATCCCTGTTCTGTACTATTGTCGATGGTGTTACTTGATCCGAAATGACCCCACCCCTTCTCTCCTTTGTAAAATTTTGCCTTCCTTTCAAGTTCAGCTCCAGCCCTACCTCATCTGTGAAGGCTTCCCTAAAAACTCTGGCTCATATTGAGTTTTGTTTTTCTTTTTTGTTTGTTTGTTTGTTTTGTGTGTGTGTGTGTGTGTAGCTTCCATATGTAGATATGTAGTTTTTATGTGTCATATAGAGGTATATGTAATTGATTATCATAGAAAGAGAAGGTAAATATATATACAGACATATGTCTTGTTTCCAGTGAAATTTTGTATCCTCTAGTACATAATAGGGACTCAGTATTTAATAGATACTTCTTAATTGGTAAGCATATTTCTCCTTAAATGTGTCTTGACCAACTTACATTCTGTTCTATTTTTAACATGACTTTAAGCTTCAGTTTGACTTTTAAACCTGTATTCCTTGTTCTCACACACTGTCTTATACCAATAGTAGCAGAAAAAGTGACTAGCAGAGGATTGGGGGCAAAAATATACGATATGAGTTTTATTGATAGCCTCTGGGAAAATTGATTGACTATTTTAGCTTTAGTCTCTTCTCTTTCACTTTAAACAAAGTGACTTTTTAACTACTTAGTGGCCATGGAAACTTTTAATATTTTGTACTGAGTGATTCACTACAAATTGCTTCAAAAGGGTTTAATATAAAATCCAAATGGATAGTGATAGTGGTTGCACAACATTGTGAATGTACTTAATGCCACTGAATTATTAAAAATGATTAAAATGGTAAATTTTTTGTTCCATATATTTTACCACACTAAAAAGTAAAAATAAATTCAATGTTTGTCAACTACCAAATAAAACAAAATAACACAGCAATGGATAATGGTACTGTAATATACTTTAAATAACATCTCCAATTATAACCAAAATTTAATCCACCCTTTAAAATCTTAAAGTTATTTAAATTATCTTAACAGTTATAATCCCTAATGGAGAATAATCTTAAAAGCTAGAAATCTTTGACATTATCTAACTCATTTGGTGATTTTCTCTGAGGAACTGTATATAGACTGAAATAGTGTTTTTTAAAAACATTACAGGAAGCATCTCAATCCTCCCTACTATACTGTACCTCACAATTGGAGTCCTCAGAGAAACTGCTGTGAAGTTACCTGGGGGCCAGCTATCTTCAACAGTTGCAGCTTCCCTGCAGGCTCTGAAAGGAATATTATCTTCTCCCATGGCCCGAGCAGAAAAGAGCCATACTGCTTGGACTGACCTTCTCCGTAGTGCTTTAACAACAGTTCTTGACTGTTGGGATCCAGGTAATTTAGGCTCTTTGGAAGCAGTTGTTCAGTTTGTTTTAAAAAGCAAGAGGGACAGTTTTTTGAGAATTAGCTATTTACTTGATCATGTTTGGCAGTCTCACCTAAAGGAGACCACAGTTCACTACATACTTGTTTAGAGGGTATGTATCGTAGACAGAAAATATCTATGGTCTCATTTTAGTATCTTTTTTTTTTTTTTGCGGTACACGGGCCTCTCACTGTTGTGGCCTCTCCCGTTGCGGAGCACAGGCTCCGGACGCGCAGGCCCAGCAGCCGTGGCTCACGGACCCAGCTGCCCCGCAGCATGTGGGATCTTCCGAGACCGGGGCACGAACCCGTGTCCCCTGCATCGGCAGGCAGACTCTCAACCACTGCGCCACCAGGGAAGCCCCCTCATTTTAGTATCTTTAACGTTAATGCAATTAAATGACTGGCAGCCTGTATGTTGACAGTGAGAGACCTTCAAATGTAATAGTATGTTAATTTTAAAATACAGTATCATCCATGTCTAGCTGACAGAACTTTTTTAATATGCACAATGTACTGAAAACTGCATAAGGTATACATTATAAATATAATACAGGACTGATCGGTCCCTCCAGGACCTACTAGCTAAGTGACTAGACAAGTTATCCAACTTCTCTGAGCCTTAGTTTTCTCATTAACAAAATAAGGAGATTGTGTTGCAGGAGACTGTTAGTGCAATAACATAACATGCGAAAAGCATCTCGCTTTTTACCTGGCATATATCTATAAATGATAGCTAGTATTATGTTCAATATCCATTAAACTTAGTTTTTCCCTTTGTTATTGTTGAGTAGGTCTTATTTTCAATATTATGTCATGGTAATTGTAAAAAGTGTTTAGACATATTATAAATTATCTCCTTTTTAAAAAAATATTTATTTGGCTGCATCAGGTCTTAGTTGTGGCACACGGGATCTTTTGTTGCGGCGTGTGGGTTTCCCTCTAATTGTGGTGCACAGGCTCCAGAGCACATGGACTCAGTAGCTGCAGCGTGCAGGGCTGTCTAGTCGTGGCTCACGGGCCCTATAGCGCACAGGCTTAGTTGCCCCGCGGCATGTGGGATCTTAGTTCCCCGACCAGGGATCGAACCCACATCCCCTGCATGGGAGGTGGATTCTTAACCACTGGACCACCAGGGAAGTCCCTATCCCTGCCTTCTTTGTTCTGTTTATCAGTGTCACAATTCACCATATTCTGTTTTGTATGGTAAAAAGGTTTCAGTTGAATTCAACATTTATTGACCACGTATGTGCCCAAAGTTGGGAGTCTAGGGGAGGCTAGTGCCATAAGGTATGATTAATACCATAGGAGCTCCTTGAAGGCAACAGTAATGTCTTATTTATCACTGCCTTTCTAGTATTAAAAAAAGGAGATAGGGACTTCCCTGGTGGTCCAGTGGTTAAGACTTCGCTTTCCAGTGCAGGGGGTATGGGTTGGATCCCTAGTCAGGAAGCTAAGATCCCACATGACTCATGGCCAAAAAACCAAAACATAATACAGAAGCAATATTGTAACAAATTCAATAAAGACTTTAAAATTGGTCCACATCAAAAAAAAACTTAAAAAAAAAAAAGACCAACTGGCAAAATAGAGTAGTCAGCTCTGTTTGAGTGAATCAGGCAGAGTGTCACAGTAGGGTTCTCTGGAAGCTCATGCTGAGATGGAGTTTGGGGAGCAAGAGGCTTATTAAGGAACAACGCCTGTGAAGGGAATGGGGAAAGCAATCTTGGGCTAAAGAAGCCAAGCTGCAGTACCAGCATCCAGCAAAGCTCAGCATGCCTGCTGGGCGGCTCTGAATATTGCCTGTCAGTGCCTCCCATAGGACAGCAGTGTCTACACTCCTTCAGATGTGGCTGCCCCCTGAAGACTGTGATCTCAGTCAAGCAAACTCGGGGGCTGAGGCCAACCCTGAGGAGCTAACAGCTGACTGCATGCCTCACAGCTGGGCAGCACCTGCCCTCACGAAGGGGAGCTCAGTGCTACACCTCTGTAGCTACCACAAGAGTCTTCTCAAAACAGTCAGTTTCTTAAAGGATTAGAAAGCATTCTCCATTCTCCACATGGACATCATAGAAAAGGATTCTCACGCAACATTTTGATCTAAGACCAGCAGACCTAAATAGCATGGTACATTTGGGGACGGTAAGTAGAGCAACGAGAGAATGTGGGTTTGAGGGGAAAGAGTAAGAGGGTGGTGAACAGTGATTAGTAGAGATGGAAGTTGGATGGTAAGTGGGGCCAGATGATGGAAGGTTTGGCATGATTGGTAATTTGGGCTGCCTTCAATAGGCATGTGTTCTTAAAACTGGAGTAAAGTGATGGGATTTGCATTTCTAAAGACTCACTCTGGCAGCAGTATAGAGAAAAAAGCAAGACTGTTGGAGACAAGGTAGTAGCAGTAAGGATAACGAGGAATGAAATAATGAAAACTAAAATGTTTAGCAAGTATTAACAGAATTTAGTGATAGTTTGGTTTAGGAGTTGAAAGGGGTAAGGTGAGTTGGGTGTTCATGGTTCCCTTAACAGAAATACCAAAGTGAGGGTTTTCAGGGGAAGATAGTGAGTTTATTTTGAAATGCCTACAGGATAATCAAGTGGAATGAAATATGAAGCGGTCTGGGCTTCAAGAAAGTCTGGCTAGAGATGGTTTTAGACTGCATGCGTTTGGGAGTTGTCATGGGATGGTTGAAATCACCTAACTTGGGTTTATGCAACAAGATGGGAGGAGATTCCGAATATAATGCAGAAACAGAAGCCAAAGAAAAGAGAGTTTTAATGACTCGAGAGTGGTCAGCAGTGTAAAATACACTGTGGAGATCACGCTCAGTGTTGAGGTACAAGAGAGGAGTAAGGGAGGGGAAGGATCAAGTACAGGCTTCTCTCGACAGGGAGACGAGAAAGCTGAAGGAAGATACAGGGTCAAGGAATTTTATTTTATTTTATTTTTTAGATGAGGCTCTAGTATGAGTTCATGCTTATGGGGGAAAAAAAGGTGGAAATGGGGTTGGAGTTGGAACTATTAGGGAGGGAAGCGGCATCCCTTTTCTAGGCAAAAAGGAAAAAAATTCACAGCACATTTAGAAGGATGAATCTGGCAGTGTGAGGAAGGAAAGGAGGTAAGGATGGAAAGTTAATAGGCGTAAGTTGTTAGGTTATGATGAGCTTGCCTCTTTCATCTCTCTCTCTCTCTCTCTCTCTCTCACACACACACACACACACACACACACACACACACAGATGGTTTTCTGTTGTCTGTCAGAGAATGAGGTTAGGACACTGAGGATTTGGACTAGCTACTGAGAAGAATTAAGGAAGGAGCTGATAGGGAAAACATTTGCTACATAATAAATTGCTCCAAAACTTAGTAACTTCAAACAACAAACATTTGTTACCTGACAGTTTTTGAGGGTCAGGAATTGGGGAGCAGCACAGCTGGGTGGTTCTGTCTTGGGGTCTCTCTTGAGGTTACTGTTAAGATGTTGGCCGGGGTCACAGCTAAAGACCCCATTTCCAAGGGGACTCGCTCATGGCTGTTGGTAAGAGGCCTCAGTCTCTCACTGGCTGTTAGTTAGCAGGAGGCCTCAGTTCCTTACCACATAGGCCTCTCCATGGGGCTTAATGCTAAGCGAACCTTGCATCTATTGTAGGTAAAAGAGAATGGGTATAATGGAATTTGGGCAGGGCTGGGAGAATAAGGGAATTTTAGAAGAAATGGGAAGAGGAACCCAGGAGAACTTTATCTTACGGAGAATAAAAAGACACTTTTACTAAACAGACTAGCTATTGTAGTTTCAAGTTGCTATAAATGACTAAGAATAACTTGGCTGTATGTGAAGCACTATGGCATCATGGTTAACGGTATGCTTTCTGGAATCAAACTGAATGCCTTACTGTGTGATTTGGGCAAATGACTGAATTTCCGTTCCTCAGTTTCTCATCCATAAAATGGGGGAAATAAGTGTACCTACCTCACGATGCTAATGAGGATTAAATATAAAGTGCTTATAATAATACTGTCATAATTTAAATGTTAACCATGCACCTATTTTACCTTAAAATTATTCAAATTATTTTTATAAAATAAATCCTACCCATCCATAGTATTTTGCTTTCATTGCTGCTGTGTCTCAGGTGTCAGCTCAAACACTAATTTCCTAAACCTTTCTCTGACTGCCCAATGTAGCAACTCCTGGGTTGCTTTCTATTATCTCTTAATATATTTTTTATATTCATAGACCTTGTGACTAGCTGAAATCCTTTATTTACTTCTTGGTATATTCTGTATCTTCTCTGTAAATTGTATTCTCAGTGCCAGAAAGAGTGCTGGCACATAGAAAATGTTTCTTAAGTATTTGATGAGTGAATGTTTCCAAACCTTCTACATATATATGTAATTTTTTTCATAAGTAGTAATCCATTCTTACACAATTTAATGAGTTGAATTTGCCACACCTTTTCCTTTTCAAATAACATTGATTTTCCACAAGAGGTTCATTAAAATTATTTAATGAGAGTATGACTTTGGGAAATGAAGTAAATTACATCCAGTAGAAAATTCCTTTAAATGATTGTGGCACACACAGATATTTTCAAATTTTTCTGTACTGTTAAGAAATGGTATATGTAGCAAACAAAGTGCTAAGTTATTTTCGCTTGACAGGTGTATTATCAAAATATGAATACTTTAAACTTAACAAAGAAAAAAACAACTGTCCAAGCATTTCTGTATTTCTCCACAATAAAAATAATAATATAACAGCTAATTTATATTGAGCATTATGTGCAACATGCTATTCTGAATGCTTTGCGAGGATTAACTCATTTAATCCTCATAACCTTATAAATTTAAGTACTGTTACTTTCATTTTACAGATGAGAAAACTGAAGATGGGGTTAAATATCCAAAGGTCACATAACTAGTTAATGCATATTCCTAGTAAATGTATATAAGTATTTACTGATGTCTTTACTTACGCAGACTGTAATTTCTTTGGTAATTCTTGACCCTAGAATTACTTAAAATGCATATTTTAAAGCTACAGCATTTGCCAGGATTCTTAGTCAGTCCGTATTAGTCTGTAATCCTTAGGTACACAAAAGAAATTACTACCAAACTAGAGACAGCTTCACAGCTGTATATAACAGTAAATATGACAGTGTTGGGATCTGTTTCTCATAGATTATTTCTTTTTAGTAGCTGGAACACACCAAGAACTTGATGAAGTCAGTCTGCTTACTGCTATCACAGTATTTACTTTGTCTACCAGTCCAGAAGTAACTACGATCCCATGCCTTCAGAAGCGCTGTATTGAGAAATTTAAGGCTACTCTTGAGATAAAAGATCCTATGGTAAGTGTGTTTAGAAGATAGATGTTTGTAATAGGAACATGTTTAGGCTTTTGCAAAACTTTTCCTTATGATTTTGTTGAGTCCAACAGAAAGTACCAGACTGAAAATTATTTTTAGGTTTGGATTAATTCATGTTCTTGGGTTGACAAAGTCAAATAATAATGGTCTTGTTTTTTGGCCCTGAGGATGGAATGTAGTTAGTTGGAGAAAGATAAAGAAAATGTTTTTTAAAAAATTAAAAAAAAAAACAACCTAAATTTGAAATAGGGGCATCTTAAAATTGATATATCCCTAGAACTTCAGTGGATTTCCTTTCAAAAAAAAAGGGAAGGAAGACTCTAGCATGTGCCTTCAGTATATGACTGTAAAATAATGGGACCTATTTCAAAAGCAGCATATACAAATTAATCCCATTCCTTTCTGGCCGTTTTATTTGCTAAATTAATTTCCTATGCTGTTATGTGGTACAAAATAAGTTTGTAGCACATGATCACAAATAGACTCCTAAAACTTAGTAACCAGATTTTCTCTCAGAAAAAAAATAATCATTCAGATGAATAAAGGATGGTTTCTATATTTGCTGTATAGTCATCTCCTTTTGTTCTCCTGTCCTATCTGTTTCCTCTAGCCTAACAGGAGCTTTATGTAGCAGCCTCAGAGTGGTGCCTCCAGTATGTGATGACACATAATTAATATGGTCCAGACATGGTTCCTTAAAACCTTCATAGCATCAAATATATGTGATTTTCATCTAAAACATTTTCCAAAATATGTTTCAAGTTTGTGTGTGTGTTTGATTTTTTACATTATAGAGAGACAAACGAGGGGGAAAATGGGAACTAGTCAAAAGAAGAAAAATTAACCACTTTATTCCCACTCCAAGCTGTCACAACCACTGTTAGCATGCAAGTTTGAATACCTGTTAGTGCTTGGACTTCCAAAATTAAAGATAAATTAGAAATAAAATAAATTTAAGTGTGGGAGGGGAGGCTTTAAATTTTTTTCATTTACATTTTTTAATTTACTTTAAAAATTTACATTAAAACTTACATTTTAATATAAACGTAAATTTACATTTACAGTTTATACTATTTTTGTCTTTTCTCTGATTAGGTACAAATCAAGACCTATCAGCTCCTACTTTCCATTTTTCAGTATCCGGATCCAGCTGTTTCCTACCCGTACATTTACTCTTTAGTATCCTCTATCGTGGAAAAACTGCAGGAAATAGACAAAAGAAAACCTGAAGACACTACTGAGCTTCAGATCTTTCAAGAAGGCATAAAGGTCTTGGAAGCACTGGTAGCCATTGCTGAGGAACAGCATCGTAAGTGCTAGCACTAAATGCATACTAAATCAGAATCTGTCCAAAATCAGAAAATTAATGTTATTTAAACTGTAAAACATCCCATTAGTCACTTAGCATTATATTTTCACACTCGTGGAAAGGCAGGTGTTGATGTTAATCAATCAACAGTATTGATACTGTTTTGTATTAATTTGGGAGAAGAGATTGGAAGAACTGCCTCCCTTCAAGTGGGGGAAATATGTCCAGATCAAGTGTATAAGAAACATTTACATCCCTGAACCTGGGGCTTACATCATTTGTTTACTTTCCAGGCTCTCAGCTGGTGGCCTGTCTTCTGCCCATCCTCATTTCCTTCCTTTTGGATGAGAATGCTCTGGGATCAGCAACTTCCATAATGAGAAATCTACATGACTTTGCTTTGCAAAATCTCATGCAGATTGGGCCTCAGTATTCATCAGTTTTTAAAAGTGTAATGGCTTCCTCTCCAGCCTTGAAAGCCCGCCTTGAAGCTGCTATAAAGGGCAATCAAGAAAGTGTCAAACTCAAGATACCATCATCTAAACATACTAAGAACTCTGGAAAGAATTCAAGCATCCAATTAAAGACCAACTTCCTCTGATGTTTTTTTTGAACAGTAAGCACCTTAACACAATACTTGATCATTTCTTTCACTTTGGGGGCAAAAGTGACATTTTAGACACAAGTGCACTTGGAGGCTGTTTGTTTTAACTAAATTGCTTTGAAAAGTCACAGCAAACTTAAACATTTTTTGTGGGTTTCTTTTTTTCTTTCTTTCATATAATAAAATCACAGAGCTCTGTCAGAATTCTTGCCAGGAATTTCAATAAAGTGCTAAAGAACTAAACTTAGAAAACCAACCACTGCTTTAAAAACAAAATTTATTTCTTCTAATAGTCCATACACACATAGTACTATGACATATATAAATCTGACTCTAATATAAATTATCTGCATTTATATTGTATCTCGATTGCCAGTTTAAAATTCGGTCTTATTCAATAATTGTATTATACTTTCTTGGATTTCTCAAACAACGTAAATGATTGGCAAGCTATTTAGGAAACTTGGTTTAGAATTATCTAAAATATGTAATAGTACAAATTAATTAATGCCCTACAGTGTGACTTAAGATTTGGTGTCTATAAATATCATGGCTTTTTACCATCTATTGGTTTTATTTGTATTGAGTTCAGAAAATTGAAATTTTAGTCATTTTAAATAGAATAGGGCGTTTCCACTTCAATTTCTCACATGGATTTTCTTTTACCTCTGTTCCTAATAATTTTCATCATTTTCATTTATGGCAAACATTCATACCAGTGAGTTTAATATAGATTCATATCTATATTTAAATTAACTATGGGTTTATATAAATGTCAAATTTAGTACAACAAATTTAGATCCTCAGTGAATACAAGTATGTTTTTTTTAACATGAAACATATTTTAATATAGAAAAAATCTAATGATAAAGTCATATTGGTTGAAGGATAATTTTTAATTATTGATGGTCATTGACTCTCCTTCCACTTCAGTGTTATACTGTGTGAATCAAGCACTGTGTCAGAACAAAGCATTTCCCTGTTAAAAATTAAAACCCTAAGTGAGAGGGGCATGTTCAGAATGGAGAGACACTTGGAGTCAAGAGAAAGCAATGTGATGGTACTCTATTTTATTATGTTTGTATATAAATACACTTGTAAATCGTTCAGAATGAAAGCATTTGACAAATTCTAACACTACAATCAGTTTTTCTAATTTACATAAATAAAGCTAATTTTCTGTATCATTCTTGTATTTGAAATTATTTTACTCACAAAAGATGACTGGTTAGTCTCACAGAGTGCAGAAAATCATTTCTGTGGAGCAAATAATATTTTCTCTGAAACTTAGCCTGTTTTCTGAAGGGAGCCCTTTCTTTGGAACATTCTTTGCAATGGTGTGCATTCTTTGTCTTTCTAATTATCTCTATGAATTTGACTGTATACTCATTATTGTTTCCTTCACCTGAATGCCCTTCTCTCCCTTGTTCTATCTGGCTGACTCCCAGTCCTTTTAGGCCTGGTTTAAATGTCACTTCCCCTTGATAACTCCTTAACGCTTCTTACCCTCCTCTCAAACCAAGGAAATGTAACTGCTTCTTCATCTGTGTTCCTGCAGTACTTTATATATTATTCTATGCACTGAACATCACATTGCATTTTAATACTCCCTTTTAGACTGTGTCTTAAAGGGAGAGATTTTGTCTTCTGTAACTGCCTGTGTGGCATCAACTAGACACTTAAAAAACTGTTGAACTGTACTGGTGTAGGATGAATCTGAGCTGAGAAATTTATTCCTTTGCCAAGGCAAATGCTGGACTGGGATATTCTCAGGATATAGTTTTTTTATTTTTTTTGTTTCTTTTGTATTGTTTTTTATTTCATTTAGTTTGTTCTTAAACATTAAGATTTCTGCTCCTCATTTAGTGACCTGGTATCCTGAATTGTCTGGATTTAAAGGTGCTATATGAATATCAATAGTTGTGAAAAAATATGTCCAGTGTCATGGAATTAGGAACTTTGAGTTGGGCACAATTCTATAGGCTTTTTTTAATGTATCATCTTGTTTAATACAATATTGAATTAGTAAAGATACCCTTACTGACACAGAAATTAAGGCTTAACGGCTGAGACTTGAACCCACCTTTCTGATCCCAGGTTCCAAGCTAGAGACAGAAAAGGTCCGTTGGTGGTCCTGATTCTATCAAGGTAAAGCTTTTCTCTTCTTTCACTGTTCCACATTCCTTCCAGAGCTTTCTTCACTCCTAGTTGAAGATATTTTCATTTAATATTTCTCCAAATTGCCACCAAAAGTTTTCTGGCTAATACAACAGGAAAAAGTGGGAAAAATTTGTGACGTCTACAATTTCAATGGGAATAATGATTACATGATTAGTTGTTGATATAAGTTCTGATTTGTTTAAAGGTGAATAGTTAAGACTGAAAAACACATCAAAAATTCTTTACATCTGTTTTATTTTAACAAGTCTCCAGTTGTTATAAAGCAGTTGCACTTTAACTTGGTAATTCTTTACAAATTTAATGTGTTGATGAGCAACCTGGATGAAACAAAGTGGTATATATAATGTTTGCTTGAGCTTTATGTTTTTCTAAGGGAAGAAATACAGCCCAAACTACTAGTTGAGTCTCATTTTATTTAACCCACTATTTAAAAGCTTATCATGGAAAGACTTATAAAGTAACATCAGAAAGACCAGATTTCTATAAATAGAGCATCCGAAGCAAAATTTCTACTTCTATAAATCAAACTTCACCGCCCACCTAAAAGGAACATTAAGGCACTTTAAAAGATACAAATAAGTGCTATAAAAGAGATACAAGGATAGTGCTATGGGAACCCAGGGAAGAAAACTGATGCTTCTGAGATGGACTTCCTGGAAGGAGTATCATATGGTACAGGCTTAGAGAATAATACATACTTGACGGAATAAATGTATAACCTAAGAGTCTTTTGTAACATTAATTTTGAAGAGAAGAATTCGCTTTGTCTTTTTATTACAATATTAGTTTACATTTTGAGGGAAGAAATTTCAACCCTCAAGCTAATAAACTATGATAATGTTAATACAAAACTAACAATATATGAAATAAAGTCTATACTACCCAAAAACTATAGTTAAAATGTTGAATCATTTCTGGCCGTTTAATGATTATATTATGCTAACAGTCCTAAAGCTTCAGTAGTCTGCCTATATGTATCTTTCAGAGTCCTGTTAACATAATTATAGAATCAAGGTAATTACATATATTGCATTTTCTCCATCAATTGAATGTACTTTCCTCTTTACAAATAACTTGTTAACCCTTGCAAGACCTCAATTTATCAGAAATATGGTTATTCAACTGCTGGCTGACAGTTTAATGAACTGTGCCTATCTTGACTTTTCTGTTTATCAATCTACTTAGCTGATGCCTTGGCTTTTAGCTTTGAGGAAATGGGAAATTTTGTGTTGTGATGTAGAGCTGGAATGTATCCAGTACAGACCACAAATACAATCCCAGGTTCTGTAAATTCAGAGGAGCTAGCTTCCTTTAATTGCCTTTCTGTTTGCTCAGGACTCCTGGCTGTTCTACTTAGGACATTATAAAATGATTCCACTGACTACTTGAAGAAAATTCTAATTACTTAATAGGCATTCTTAGCACATATCCACATATCGTTCTCTGACAAAATATTTCAGAAAATACTTATTTTTTTAAAGGATTCTATTAAGAAAATTTAAGAGGTCATTGCTACCAATGAAAAACTAATGTTGACAATGTTTTGCTTAATGGGATCAAAATTTAATACTTTTCTCTGAAAAAAAAATCTAGATGCAAAAAAACTTTAGACACACACACACACACACACACATATACATATATATGCATATACACACACCTATCAGCAGTAGTGGACTGCTTTATAACATAAAACATTCCAAGAAAGAACAAAACAAGTGAGATATTTTTTAAAGCAATTTAAAGTATGCCAGTGACACAGCAAAAGCAGTTTTGTTAGTGTTGTTATTGGGCTAGTACAAGTGTCCTCAGAAAAAAAACCAAAACATTCATATGCAACCAAAACTGATGCTCTCTGGTGAACAACGAGCCTATAAGTCCCAATATTTCTCTGTTAGTTACTTGTTTCTAATCTTAACAAAGCTTTGGGCCTTGCAGTTTGCAATCAAATGCTGGAAGAGTGCTCACTGCTCCCTGAATTGCCAGGGTGACTTGTTTTCTCCTACCTTTTCCTCCCTAGTAGTGTCAGGTACTAGAAACACATCATCTAGGCCTTCGTTTAAACACAAAAGCTTCGTAAAAACAGATTTGCTAAATTATGGAAATGCTTTTGTTTCAGCAGTCAACACACTCTTTTGAGTCAATATCAGATGAGAAATGGTTAGAACATGTACTTCCTATTCCCCAGTCAGCTGTATTGTGACTCTGCCATTTGCTATAGTTTTCATTGCAAATGCTTTCTCTTTTCAGTAATAATGTGACCATTCTGAGTTCTCAATTTTGTATAAAAATTTTTGTAGAATTTTCTACAATATGAAAATGTTCCTTTAGTTGTTTGATTTATATGCTTAATATAGTACTGGAACTTCCAGAAATCACCTACTGTCTGTCTCTGGGCAAACATATGCCTAAACCATTTATCTTACATATGACACCTAAAGCACAAGTGGCTTTATCTTTGAAGTCCAAAGATAAATTGGACTTTATCAAAATTAAGAACTTTTGTGCTTCAAAGGACACCATCAAGAAAGTGAAAAGACGGGACTTCCCTGATGGTCCAGTGGGTAAGACTCTGCGTTCCCAATGCAGGGGGCCTGGGTTCGATCCCTGGTCGGGGAACTAGATCCCGCATGCATGCCACAACTAAGAACTCTGCATGCTGCAGTGAAGATCCTGCATGCCGCAACTAAAACCCGATGCAGCCAAAATAAATAAATAAATATTAAAACAACAACATTATAAGAAAGTGAAAAGACAACCCACAGAATGGGAGAAAAAAATTTGCAAATCATAGCTAAATATATATATATATATAGAGAGAGAGAGAGAGAGAGAGAGAGAGAGAGAGAGAATATCCAGCATATGTAAAGAACTCTCAAAACTCAACAATGAAAAGACAACTCAATTTTAAAATGGGCAGAGTTAAAACAGACATTTCTCCAAAGAAGACATACAAATGGCTAATACACACATGAAAAGATGCTCAGTATCCTCATTCATGAGGGAAATGCAAAACCACAATGAGATACCACCTCACTTGATCACTAGGATGGCTGTGATCAAAAAGACAATAACAAGTGTTGAGGAGGATGTGTAGAAATTAGAACTTTCTTATACTGCTGCTGAGAATTTAGTGCAGTTGCTTTGGAAACAGTTTGACAGTTTCTCAAAACATTAAACATAATTAACAATATGATCCAGCAATTCCACTCCTAGGTATGAAAGAATTAAAAAGTCATGCAAAAACTTGTACATGAATATTCACAGCAGAATTATTGATAATAGCCAAAAAGTGGGAACAACCCAAGTGTCCATCAACTCATGAATATATAAACAAAACTGGTATATCCATTCAATGGAATATTATTCAGCCATAAAAGGAATGAAGTACTGATACATGATACAATGGAGATTAACCTTAAAGACAGTATGCTAAGTGAAAAAAGCTAGACATAAAATGCCTCTTGTTATATGGTTCCATTTTATGAAATGTCCATTGATATGAAATATTTATGAATAGGCAAATCCATATAAACAAAGTAAATTACTGGTTGTCAGGAGCTGAGGAAGATTGGAGGGGAAGGTGACTGCTAATGGGTATGGGGTTTCTTTCTGGAATGTGGAAAAGGTTCTGGAATTAGATAGTGGTGTTGGTTGCATAACCATGTGAATATAGTAAAAACCACAGAAAAGAACACTTTAAAAGGATGAATTTTGTGGTATGTGAATTTGTTATGGGTTGAATTATGTCTCCCAAATAGATGTCTTAAGCCCTAGTACCTCAGAATGTGACCTTATTTGAAAATAGGGTCATTACAAATGTAAATAGTTACAGTGAAGTCATATTGGAATAGGGTGGGACCTTAATCCAATTTGACTAGTGTCCTTGTAAGAAGAGGAGAATGCCATTGGAAGACAAGGAGACACACAAACACAGAGGGAAGACAGACATGTGAAGATGGCGGCAGAGACTGAAATTATGCTGCTGCAGCCCAGAAATGCCTTGGGCTACCAGAAGCTGGGGGAGCAAGACCCTCCCCTAGAGGCTTTGGAGGGAACATAACCTGTCAACACCTTGATTTGGGGTTTTAGCTTTCAGAACTATGAGAGAACAAGTTTCTGCTGTTTAAAACGAGATTGTGGTACTTTGTAATGGCAGCCCTAGAGAACTCACACCGATTTATATCTGAAGTTTTAAAAAAGGAGTTAGTGGGCTTCCCTGGTGGGGCAGTGGTTTTAATAACAAAATTAAAAATAAAAAAATTCAACAATGGGGACATATAAAAGTATAAAATAAATGTCCATGAGTCTATCCTAATATAAATTATTGAATAAATAAATGGTGGAAAATAGACAAATCTCCCATGTAGAAGAATTCCAAATAATTTTATGTGAAACCTAACTCCCCACCCCTCAAGGGGTTGCACATAGTAATTTCCTTTCAAAAAAAGGGGGAGGACTTCCCTGGTGGTGCGGTGGTTAAGAATCCGCCTGCCAGTGCAGGAGACACAGGTTCGAGTCCTGGTCCAGGAAGATCCCACATGCCGCAGAGCAACTAAGCCCGTGTGCCACAACTACTGAGCCCACGTGCCACAACTACTGAAGCCCACATGCCTAGAGCCCATGCTCTGCGACAAGAGAAGCCACTGCAGTGAGAAGCCCGTGCACCACAACTACTGAGCCCGCGCACCTAGAGCCCGTGCTCCGCAACAAGAGAAGCCACGGCAATGAGAAGCCTGCGCACTGCAACGAAGACCCCATCCAAAACCATCAAGGTCATCAAAAACAAGGAAAGTCTGAAAAACTATCACAACCAAGGAGGGCCTAAGGAGACAAAAACGTATCATATTCTGGATGGGATCCTGCAACAGAAATGGGACGTTAGGTAAAAACTAAGGCTGTCTGAATACAGTATGAACTTTAGTTAATAATAAAGCATCAGTATTGGTTCACTAGTTGAAAGGTACCATATTAACGTAATATGTTAATAACAGGCAAACCTGAGTGTTTAGGTATATGGCAACTCTGTACTACCTTCACAACTTTTCTGTAAATCTAAAACTATTCTAGGGCTTCCCCAATCCACCCACCAATGCTGGGACACGGGTTCAAACCCTGGTCCGGGAAGATCCCACATGCCGCGGGGCAGCTAAGCCCGTGCGCCACAACTACTAAGCCTGCGCTCTAGAGCCCGTTAGCCACAACTACTGAGCCCACGCGCCAAAACTACTGAAGCCCGCGTGCCTAGAGCCCGGTCTCTGCAACAAGAGAAGCCACTTCAATGAGAAGCCTGTACACCGCAACGAAAAGCAGCCCCTGCTCGCTGCAACTACAGAAAACCCACATGCAGCAACAAAGACCCAAGGCAGCCAAAAATAAAATAAGTAAATTTTAAAAAAATTAAAAAATAAAAACTATTCTAAACGGTAAAGTTTATTTTAAAAGAAAAAGAAAATCAGATTCAGAATGTCTGGGGTATGGCCCAATAATTTGCATTTTTAAACAACGCTTGTTTTGCATCTTGCTTCTGATGGGTGGTCACAAGTCCATTTTTGGAGCAGCACTACCCTAACCAAGGTCAGCTCCCACTGTGGCTTTCAGCCTAAAGCAGAATGGCTGTGAGGTCACTTGACCTCTGCCTGCAGTAAATTTGCTGATTAACACTACAATAAGTATTTACAAAGTAGGTCAGCTATGCCTCTGTTCACCTGTGTTTTTAGGGATTAGTCAGAAGAAAAGGTAACTCTGTCTCTGGTCACCAGCAGGAAAAGGTGTGGTGGAATAGAAAAGTAGTTATCTGGCTTCCATTTTGAGAGTTAACACCCATCTTAATGGGTGTCAAAACACCTTAGTCACTTCCATTTTGTCTATGCTGCTCCCTTTCCATGTGCCACTTCCTTGAGTTCCATCCCAGATAAAAGAATTCAAGTGCCTAGCACTACCCCACAAAATGAATTGCTGAAGATGGCCACAATAAATAATGTTCCTGGACCCTTGTTTCCAACAGTCATTTCTCTAGACTTAATCATCAGCCAGTCACATTCCTAATGCTTTTTCTGTTCCCTCATACAGATACCACCAGTTCCTCTTGCAGGTGAGAAGACTATAGCATTGAATGGGATACAGCAGTGTTTAGATAAGAGATCATAAAGATCTAGGTATAACAGACTAATGATCCCTAGTAATTTATGCTACTTTATTGAAAACTCAGTATCCAGGGGAGAAAACTGGTAAGAAAAACGGGCAGATCTCAGACCTAGAAGGACAAATACTGCTGGGAGTTAGGTTCTTTCGAAGTCCTTGGAAAACATATAACCATGAACATCAGTGATATAATTTTCATTACATAGTCATTACCACACTCTTTGAGGACAGGGAAATAATGTACCCTTCTCTTTGGTGTTTATACCCCATATTGTATTTCTACGTGTCCCCTGCTGCAGTGTTGCTCAGCCAACCTGTACACATAGGTCTCTCCATCTTTGCACAATCCTGTTTTCTTTCTTTCTTTCTTTCATTTATTTATTTTTGGCTGCGTTGGGTCTTTGTTGCTGCACGTGGGCTTTCTCTAGTTGCAGCGAGCGGGGGCTGCTCTTCATTGTGGTGCACGGGCTTCTCGTTGCGGTGGCTTCTCTTTGTTGTAGAGCACGGGCTCTAGGCACGCGGGCTTCAGTAGTTGTGCCTCTCAGGCTGTAGAGCGCAGGCTCAGTAGTTGTGGCGTACGGGTTTAGCTGCCCTGCGGCATGTGGGATCTTCCTGGACCAGGGCTGCATTGGCAGGCGGATTCTTAACCACTGCACCACCAGGGAAGCCCAATCCTTCTGTTTTCTTAACCACTTCTATTATTGTTCATTACATTTCCCTCCCCTTCATTAACTCTATTCTGTTCAGAGTCCAGAAGTAGAGACCATTGACTAATGATGACCTTGAGTGAGATCACTGCTAATTAGAAATGATTATATCTGTGAAAAGCACTTCCCTTGAACTCATAAAACCACCACAGTAGAATCTTAAGTACCTATAGTGTGCAACACACTATGTGCATATAAGGAAGTACCAGTATAGAAAGAGCACTGAACTCTTAGCACCAATGGATCTGGATTCTAATTTTGTTCGTGTGGGCAGGTCAGCCTCCTGGCCTCAGTTTCTTCTCTGCTAAATAGTTGAGCATAGTGTGACCAACTATCCCTATTTGTCTAGAATTCCCAGGCTCAGCACTGAAAGTTCTGTGTCCCAGGAAACTCAGTACCAGGTGAGCCAGGATGGTTAGTTCCCCTCTTGGACAGGCTATCTGAGACCCTTTCTGGTTCTGACAGTTCTGGGTCAAAGCCTCCGGTGCTTCTCAAGGCATGTTGTCTATGCCCTTTTGAGAGTGTGGACTGAGTCACAGAGAGACAGGGTAGTGGCTATATGCAAAGAACTTGTAAGGCTTCCTGCCTCCTGAGCTGTGACTCACGGGGGATGCTGCAGGGCATCATTCCTAACATCTCAGGGAAGCAGATCAGCTGAGAATGGTACACTCAGGCAAGAGACATTCTTAGGTTTCTCAGTGGGAAAGAAATTCAAAAACAACGGATTAATGAGAGGAATTTGTAGCAAATGTTGAGGCTGCCAGCATTTTTGCAAATGAGCCAATGACCTTTTAAGCTATATCTACAACTGACTAGCTTCTTGGCCACCATCCCAATGAAGGTTCCTTTCCCAGTTTAAACTACATTCAAAACTGGCTTGGCAGCAAGGCTTTTAGCATCCTCAGATATAGACTTACTCCAGCAGGAGAGCATATGAAATCAACTTTCTAATAAAAGCTTAAAAAACATTTTTTTAACACAAAAAACAAACACCAAAAAAACCCAACAGCAACAGAGCGAGTGACTGCCACTGCTAATGTCAACAACTGAATCTGTTGTCCTATTTTCATGAGTTTCAAGAAAAGGATCCTAGGGTCTTCCCTGGTGGTTCAGTGGTTAAGACTCTGTACTTCCACTGCAGGGGGCACAGGTCTGATCCCTGGTCGGGGAACTAAGAATCTGCATGCCAGGTGGCACGGCCAAAAAAAAAAAAAAAAAAGAAAACAGCAACAAAAAAAGGATCTTAGCTTAACTTGAATCGATAGGGAAGACAGCTGAACTCTAGGTCTTGAGTGGATTTACCACACTGCAAAGGACTACAGAGGTTGACCCTGAGTTGACTCTGAAAAGAGATGCAGCTTGCTGTAGATTTATATTTAATTTAAAAGCAAATTTCATAATCACCTTGCTCATTTTTCTGTGTGCCTCATTTCATTTTGTCTTTATGTTTAAGATTAACACCTATTTCAATCTCACCTTCTAGAATTATGGCCTAATTTCCTTCTCAGTCATTCTTCTTAAACAGCTGGATCCAAAACACAAGCCCCAAATACTTTTTGAGTGGTGATAGGATGAGCCTACATGGAGAAAGTCAAAAGAGCTAGATTAATACAAGCTATTTAAGGAACTTAGAAACAAATCAAGGAACTTCTCTAACTCAACAAATTAAGATAGCAGTTATGTAAAGTCTCTTACCCACCCTTGGCCAATCAAAAATACAGTAAAATGAAGTTAAACTGGTTTAAGAAGTATGTGCCAAATAGTAGTATTTCCCCCAACTAAATTTACTTCTCTCCCCTTTCTGTTAGCTCTACTTTAGTAGACTCTAAGGCTATTAGCAAAGGAAACTTTTAGCCACAAGTTCATGAGTTAATTATCTGGAGACTAATCATGACTCAAATGAGAATTCCTGTTTACACATACCCACAACAGCAGTAAAGGGATCTAATAGCATGAATAGCTACAGGAGATATTTTTGGTGATAAGAGGTCAACATGCGAGAGACTGGCTAAATAAGGCGGCTCTAGGCATGTGACTTTAAATTCTTTCAGTTGAAGAGTATCTATTATATGTTACTTAATAGACTGTGAGGAAATTAAAAGATGTGCTGGTTTGCTTTGTCCACCCTGGCAGGTGGCCAAAGTTCTCATAATTGGCAAGACTGGGCCACCTGCCCTGTCCCCTGGCCTTTGGGTTTGTTAACCTCTCATCTATGGAGCTGAGGAGAGCTTTTAACTTCTTTAAATCCTACCTGGGAAGGAATTTCTTTTTTTTTTTTTCTTTTGAATTTTATTTTATTTTTTTATACAGCAGGTTCTTATTACTTACCCACTTTATACATATTAGTGTATATATGTCAATCCCAATCTCCCAATTCATCACACCCCCACCCCCCACCCGCCGCTTCCCCTGCTTGGTGTCCATACGTTTGTTCTCTACATCTGTGTCTCAATTTCTGCCCTGCAAACCAGTTCACCTGTACCATTTTTCTAGGTTCCACATATACGCATTAATATATGATATTTGTTTTTCTCTTTCTGACTTACTTCACTCTGTATGACAGTCTCTAGATTCATCCACATCTCTACAAATGACCCAATTTCATTCCTTTTTATGGCTGAGTAATATTCCATTGTATATATGTACCACATCTTCTTTATCCATTCCACTGCTGATGGACATTTAGGTTGCTTCCATGACCTGGCTATTGTAAATAGTGCTGCTATGAACATTGGGGTGTGTGCATTTTTTGAATTACTGTTTTCTCTGGGTATATGCCCAGTAGTGGGATTGCTGGGCCATATGGTAGTTCTATTTTTAGATTTTTAAGGAACCTCCATACTGTTCCCCACAGTGGCTGTATCAATTTACATTCTCACCAGCAGTACAAGAGTGTTCCTTTTCTCCACACCCTCTCCAGCATTTATTGTCTGGGGATTTTTTAACGGTGCGATTCTGATGGGTGTGAAGGGATACCTCACTGTAGTTTTGATTTGCATTTCTTTAACAATTAGTGATGCTGAGCATCTTTTCATGTGTTTTTTTTTTTTTTTTTTTCTTTTTTTTTGCGGTATGTGGGGCTCTCACTGTTGTGGCCTCTCCCGCTGTGGAGCACAGGCTGTGGACGCGCAGGCTCAGCGGCCATGGCTCACGGGCCCAGCCGCTCCACGGCATGTGGGATCTTCCTGGACCGGGGCACAAACCCGTATCCCCTGCATCGGCAGGCGGACTCTCACCCACTGCGCCACCAGGGAAGCCCTCTTTTCATGTGTTTGTTGGCCATTAGTATGTCTAAGAAATTTTAAACAAAAAACAAAGAAAATTCAGAAGAAATATGATGAAAGGAAAAAGAATGCTCAAATCAGCAGTCTTCTAAAGGAGCAGTTCCAGCAGGACAAGCTTCTTGCATGCATCACTTTTAGACCAGGCCAGTGTGGCCAAGCAGATGGCTATGTGCTGGAGGGCAAGGAGCTGGAGCTCTATCTAAGGAAAATCAAGGCCCAGAAAGGCAAATGAGTCCTCCTCCTTCCTATCTTAGTCCATGTAATAAAGGTGTTTATTGTTCTTAAAAAAAAAAAAAAAAGTAGAGAGCTTGATCGTAATTATATAAAAAATGCAAAGCAAAAATATGGAAAGAAATAGAATAAAACATTAACTGAATTGCTTCTAGGTGACAGAAAGAAAGGTGTATCAGTCAAGGTTCTTAGTTGCATATACATAAAACTTTAAATGAAAAGAAAAATGAGAATTTACTGAAGGCTCTCATGGGTTCAATGAGTCAATGGGAAAGGAACACCAAACTGAGAAGACATGCAGGAGTCAAGACAGCTCTGGAAGACCAAGCAGTAGGAAGCTGCTGGACATTGCCCCCATTGATCACTGCCATAGCTAGCACAATCGAACCATCATAGGCCATCTGGCTAGAGTAGGGTCCAGGCAGGAGCATCTCACTGGCTAAGCCAAGATCATATCTCACACTGGCTGCAGAAGGGCTACAGTTCAAGAAAAAGGAAGATGTTCCCACATAAGGTTCCACTGTGGGAAGCAGAGCATTGCATCTCATGTACATGATTATAAACAATAAAGGATTTCTCCCATAAAGGAAGAAGAGTTGGAAACTGGACAACCAAAAAAAATGACAAAAGTCCACAACAATTTTTTCTGTTTTTATGTTTTCAACACTCTACAAATCATCTTCACAGAACCTGTATGTGAAAACTGATAAAATAAACCAATACAACTTTTCTCTTCCTTATAGCATGATGGGTAGGAGAATAATGCCACTCCAAAATATGACTGTAGGAGTTCAGAACATGCCACTCCGAAATGTGCCATTTTGGTACATTGGTTATTTTGAGCTGTTAGCATTTGAAAAGCAGCAAATGCAGGGGGAGGCTTTCATTGAACTCTCTTTATCTGCCTAAAGACAGATCCTCCAAAAAGAAACCCGGTTGTCATAAATCCCCACCCCGCGAATTTAATCAACCAGGGAAGATTGACTCTTATCACAGAAGAGGAGACTAGAAATTGAAACCACACCCAGACAAACTGTCACTCACATTTATTTTTCTAAAGGCCCATTCACTTTTCCTAAAAATCATTTACTCATCCCTAAGATGCCTACATCTCCCATCCTCTTTCCCTATTAAACTGGTATTTAATCCTGAATTCTAAGACACCTCAGTGATTACTTATTTTTCCCTGGGTATCTTCCATGTATCCATGAGGTATACGTGTTGATAAACTTCTGTTTTTCTTCTGTTTTGTTAATCTGCCTTTTATTTCAGGGGTCTCAGCTAAGAACTCAAAAGGGTAGAGGAAAAATTATTTTTCCTCCCCTACAAGCACTGTGGTAAATTAACAAGGATTTGTTTTCAATCTTTAAGACGTGTCTGAAATTGGTATAAAATCTTTATCAAATTAAGAAAGCTCTATACTCCAACTCTGCTAAGAGTTCTTGCTTTTTTTTAAAATTAATTAATTTGTTTTCACTGCGTTGAGTCTTCATTGCTGCCTGCAGGCTTTCTCTAGTTGCAGCGAACGGGGACTACTCTTCATTGCGGTGCGCAGGGCTTCTCATTGCGGGGGCTTCTCTTGTTGCGGAGCATGGGCTCTAAGCGCACAGGCTTCAGTAGTTGTGGCACGCGGGCTCCATAGTTGTGGCGCACGGGCTTAGTTGCTCTGCGGTATGTGGGATCTGCCCGGATCAGGGCTCACACCCGTGTCCCCTGCATTGGCAGGTAGATTCTTAACCACTGAGCCACCAGGGAAGTCTCAGAGTTCTTGCTTTTTAAAAAAATCATAAATAGGCACTAAGACTTATCCAGTGTTTTCTTCTCAATTTAGATAATGATTTTTCTACTTTAGGTTCTTAATGTAGTAAATTACACCGGTAGATTTTCCACTTTTGAACCAGTATGGCTTTACTAGAATAAACTACTAGATTTTGATGTATGATTTTTTAAATACTTTTTTTGGATTTGTTTAGCTAATACTTTATTTAGATTTTTTTTTTTTTTGCACTTACATTCATAAGTGTTTGGGGTCAATAATTTTCTTTTCATGTATTGTCCTTATTTTTAAATAAATTTATTTATTTTTTATTTATTTTTGGCTGCATTGGGTCTTTGTTGCTGCGTGTGGGCTTTTTCTCTAGTTGTGGAGAGCAGGGGCTACTCTTCATTGCGATGCGTGGTCTTCTCACTGCGGTGGCTTCTCTTGTTGCAGAGCACAGGCTCTAGGTGCGCGGGCTTCAGTACTTATGACACGCGGGCTCTAGAGCTCAGACTCAGTAGTTGTGGTGCACAGGCTTAGTTGCTCCAAGGCATGTGGAATCTTCCCGGACCAGGGGTAGAACCTGTGTCCCCTGCATTGGTAGGCAGATTCTTAACCACTGCGCCACCGGAGAAGTCCATTATCTAGTTTTTGAATCAAGACTTTTGGCCTCTGGAAAAGTCCCTATCACAAGAAAAAAAATATTTTTTTGCAACTATATATGGTGACAGTTATTAGCTAGAATTATTGTGGTGATCATTCCACAATATATACAAATATCAAATCACTATGTTCTACACCTGAATCTAACAGGTGTACAACACCTATTACATAAAACTATACAATGTTATATGTCAATTATACCTCAATTTTAAAAAACTGAATATAAATAAATGAATGAACAAATGAAAAAAAGACTTTGGCCTTCAAAATGAACTGGCCATTTCTGAACTTTTCTATTTTCTAGAACAGTTTGCATGAGATAGATATTAAGTATGCTTTGAAGATTTGGTAGAACTCATTAATGAAATCAGTTAGGGCTGGCATTCTTTCTGGAGGGCAAATATTTGATGGCCATCTGAATTTCTTTAATACTTAGCTTTAATTAGTTTCTTTAAACCTGCTACCAGAAGTTGTGATTTTAAATTTTAGAAACTAGTTGAGGGCTTCCCTGGTGGCAGTGGTTAAGAATCTGTCTGCCAATGTAGGGGACACAGGTTCTATCCCTGGTTCGGGAAGATCCCACATGCCATGGAGCAACTAAGCCTGTGTGCCACAACTACTGAGTGTGCGCTCTAGAGCCTGTGGGACACAACTACTGAAGCCTGCGTGCCTAGAGCACATGCTCTTCAACAAGAGAAGCCACCGCAATGAGAAGACCACGCACGGCAACAAAGAGTAGCCCCCGCTTGCCGCAACTAGAGAAAGACCACGCAGCTACAAAGACCCAATGCAGCCAAAAATAAATAAATAAAATTAATTTATTAGAAAAAACTAGTTGATAGTCAATTATTCCTCGATTTTTAAAAGATTAAAAGAGACAATAAAAAATTAAAAAGTTAAAGAAAGTTGATAGACATTTTAAGATAAGGATTCGTTAAAAAAAAAAAAAAGTTGGGCTTCCCTGGTGGCGCAGTGGTTGAGAATCTGCTTGCCGATGCAGGGGACACGGGTTCGAGCCCTGGTCTGGGAAGGTCCCACATGCCACGGAGCAACTAGGCCCGTAAGCCATGGCCGCTGAGCCTGCGCGTCTGGAGCTTGTGCTCTGCAACAAGAGAGGCCGCGACAGTTGGAGGCCCACGCACCGCAATGAAGAGTGGCCCCCGCTCGCCGCAACTAGAGAAAGCCCTCGCACAGAAACGAAGACCCAACACAGCCAAAAATAAATAAATTAATTAATTAAATTTAAAAAAAAAAAAAAAGTACAAAACCCAAGTGTTTCTGGGCTCACTGAATGCTGTTTCTCAGTGCCAGAAACAAATACTGTGATGCGTATAGAGATGAGAGTATACATACTATACTTTCTGCACCCAGGAATTCAGAACGTTGAAGTGGACTTGTATTTACTTGTCCCCTCTTTCTGAGAACATAGAACTTCATCAGAGCCTTAAGAAATACAACCAATGAGGCTATGAGGTATTTCTGGTGAAATATGGCAGAGCTATTTCCAGGAAACAGGTTCCTTCCCCTCAGCGTAGGAGAGAACTCTGCTTTCTCACCCAAGAAGTCTGAAAAAACTATTTGTTGATAAGAAGTATATCAAGAAATTAGAAAAATGACTTACCCTGCTATTCCAGTTGCTGGCTGAAAAAAGACACTGGAGATCTCATAAGCCGGAAGCTTTTCTGATCAATCTCAGAAGTCTTGTATCCCTGCCAGGATCACTATTTTAAGCCTATTCCTGGGGCTCTGTGCCATCTTTGCCTCAGACAAGGGAACTGAAACCCTCGGCCTTTTCTCCATAGCCAAGGGGGATTTTTATCTACCTCCTTCACTCCTCTTCTCTCTTCTCCCTTCTCCCATTGAATAGTCTGTGTTTCTCAGGTTGTTTCACATTCAGTCGAGGGTAGTGTGTAAGATGGCATGTCCGCCTGCCGAGATCCAAAACTCTGGGGAAGACTTGTCTCCCAGTATGAGGAAGGTAGGAGAGGTGAGGTGGTGGGTACGCGCCATATAACTACAATAGAGGGGAAGTGTGTTTCTGACCTCCCAAATTGGATGTCTGAATGTATTTCAAACAAAACAAAATAAAAAAAACCCATGGTTAAACAGTGATTAGAGTCTCAAACTACCAGCACAGCCTTACATTTTGGGGATATTAACTACAAGTACCCTGGAAGCTGGAATTAGAGGCCTAGTACCTTCTATAGTATAACATCCCCATCTAGCCTGTGAACCCACTCACCATTTGGAGCACTGTATGAGAAAATGCTTTCTAAGTCCCAAATCTTAGGAAAATAAACCAGAGAAACAAATTAATGACTCCCCACTACCTTACTCTTACACTGATGTGGGACTCTACAATTTGTCTACTCAGGTAAATGTGATGACTTCATGCATTTCCAATGCATATACATTTCTACTGCAAAAGACAGACTTAGATAATTTTTTACATCTATTTTTTAAAGTTTTGATAATCCTCAGTGACAATAGGAGTGCTGAGAAACAGGCACGCACATATGCCATTGGTAGGAGTGTAAATTGGTGCAACATATTGGAGGCCAATTAAGTGATACCTATTTTTTTTAAGTAATACCTATTTTTAAAAATATATATGAGCAACATAAATGTCCGTTGCTAAGGCTATGATTAAAGCATACTAATATAAATATTGCAATAATATGAAACTAATTTTTTAAATGTAGCGAATCAATTGTACTGTTGTGTGAAAATGCCCAACAAACACTTAATTGTTAAAAAAAAGTTGCAGAATAGAATGCATATTATGCTCTTATTTATGATTTTATTAATAGATCATATATATTTATTTGTATACAAGTTGTTTTATTTGTTGAAGCATGTATGTGTGTGTGCATGTATTTGGTTTTATAAGCATGGACATTTTCCAGAAGGATATATAAGAAACTATTAATGGTGAGTAAGAACTGGGACCAGGAAATCACGTCATACCATTCTTTACTGCTGAATTTTCTTGCACGAACACAAAGTTTATCATTTAAAATACTGATGAATTGGGACTTCCCTGGCGGCGCAGTGGTTAAGAATCTGCCTGACAATGCAGGAGATATGGGTTCGAGCCCTGGACGGGAAGATCCCACATGCCGCAGAGTAATTAAGCCCCCGAGCCACAACTACTGAGCCCGCATGCCACAAGTACTGAAGCCCAAGCACCTAGAGCCTGTGCTCCGTAACAAGAGAAGCCACCGCAATGACAAGCCCACACACTGCAACAAAGAGTAGCCCCCGCTTGCCGCAACTAGAGAAAAGCCCGTGCGCAGCAATGAAGACCCAACATGGCCAAAAATAAAAACAAATAAATAAATAAATTTATTAAAAAAAAAAAAAGAAAAGAACTCAATTGTCATAAATCCCTTGCCTTGGAGCAACTATTATCCCTGTAGATGATAAGTCGCCACACCCACCCCTACACAGACTTTCTCCTAAGAGCCCATTCAGCTTTCCAAAAGATCATTTGTTTTCCCCTCAGTGCCCTTTCTCCCCAGACCCTTATTAAGAAGTCAACTGTTTTCGTTTAAGCGCGTTTCTCTCTCTTTCCCTTAGTAAGGTGTTATATATGTCCCAAATTCTAATTCTATCCAAATTCCACCTCTTTGAGTCACATTTTCTGTGAACTCCAGCGTATCCTTACTTGAATAAAAATCTGTCTTTTCTTTTGCTAACTTGTTGTTTGTCAGTTTACTCTGAAGACTCTCAAGCACAGAATCTAAAAGGGTACAGGAAAAGTTTTTCCTCCCCAGCAGTACCAAACTATAGTAACAGTTGTATTCTCTTCTACCACACACTTGCAGTAAAGAACAAAACAGTTTCACTTAAGAATGCCCTTGATGAAGCAGTAAAAAGTATTGTTTTTATTAAATCTTGACCCTTGTATACACATGTTTTTAATATGACTGTGTGGTGAAATGGGAAATACACAGAATGTCCTTCTGCTACATTGCACTTCTGCCACAAAGCACTAGAGGAATTGAGCTGTGAGCTAAACTAGCCGCCTTTTTTCTTTTTAATTAAAAGAACTACTAACAGACAGCCATCTTATTTGTCCCTGGGCTTTAGGCTGGTATTTTCTACCAAAGGAACAAAGTGAGCCTGCTAGTTAAAAATAAAGAAATAAGCAAGTGACATTTGTTGCCAATGATAAAATATAGCTTTTTGGAAAACCTGTACAGCTTCCTGATGTGTTAACTTTTCTGATGAGATCAATGGTGACAACCAATGTCACCTTTTAATATTATATAGTGAAAGATGTTAACATTTGGAATCTGCATAACTCACTCAGTGAGCCAATATTTTTCTGAATGGCCAGCAAATTCATGCAAGGGTAGAGGATCCATTCTAAGTTCAACACAGATGAATGGATTTTAATGTAACGACAGACAAAAAGTTCATTTATGTGGTTTCAGATTCCACACTGCAACCAGACTATAAAGTACCACTTGTTGAGTTTTAGTATAGTACCTGTTTAAAAAAAAAAATTCAGCTGTGTAAATTTGAAGATCTAATTGGCTTTACTCAACAATTCATGAATTGGAGGGCATCCCACCTAGAAAGCAGAAGGGCACTCTGATGGGTTGAACAAAATGTAAGGTTTTTAAAGGCAGAAGGAGGGTGGGACAAGGAAGCTATTAACAAAGGAAAAGAAAGGATTGTTTCAGGCCAGGTCACCTTCTTCTAGGGGAAGGATGAGGGTCTACCATGCAGATTACCTGTTCTTCCTTTCTCAGGGGAGGAGGGGTGATATAGAGAGGACCCATGTGACTGATTACCTCACTGGTGCTGACTAGAAAATTCCAGACTGGCAGATTAAGATTACATTCCTGGGTAAGGTCAAAACTACTATTACATCAGGTATTTAGTCTAGGTTTGGTATCATAAGCTTCAGCATAAGTGACACCATTTGGGGCCTGTGGTTTTCTCTTTAACATACCCTAAAAGAATATCCACAAATTATCTGAAAGTAACATGTAAACAAAAGCACTTTTTGGTTTTCAATAATATTTAAGAACATAAAGAGGTCCTGAAATCAAGAAGTTTGAGAACCACTGTTCTAGCTATTCTTACAAATCTACTTCTCCCTCTTACCTTCATAAACTCTCCAAGTTCTTCTAAAGACTCAAGGTAAGCAAAAGACAGAGAAACTTCTAGGCCACTTTTATTATCTGTGTTGATACCTCCTCTGAGGAAAAGAACTAACTGCCTGATTAGGATGGGGGAAAAGAGAAAGAAAAGTTAATATCTCAAAATATTACCTAGCACACATGTAAAGCAATTTGCATAGTGCCTGCTCCAAGCAGCGCTCAATATGGCTGGTATCACCATCACCATCTTCATCTTCATCACAGTTATGATTATTTCATCTTGTCCATGTTTCTAATGGTATTATATGCCAATGATTCTTGTATTTCCAAACTCTTGAGACAATGTATCCTAGAGTCTTTTAAATTCAGATCTTTCCATTTCCTTATGATTCAAAATACTGTCACCTCCCCAGACAGAGTGGGAGCCTGTGATGCTTGTAAATAGGTCACACTTGCAGAGATGTTTCCTCTTTTATCCCTGGGGAGAGTTTAGGTTTTGAAATTATTATCTCTCTGAAGGTCTTTTACATATATATATATATTTTTTAATTTTTACTTTATTGAAGTATAATTAACTTACAATGTTGTGTTACTTTCAGGTGTATCTCTGAAGGTCTTTTAAATCAGGGGATGTTCTTAAGCAGAAAGACTGAACTAGAAATTATAAACGAAAACCAGAAAGCACGGCAAGGAAAGGATTCACTAACTGACCTCCCACCATCCCTGAAACAAAAAGATTCTCGGGTAGAAAGCTCATAAATGAGGAATAAATACTAGGAACAATGCTTCCTATCACAATTTCAATGGAATTTGTAGAAATGTGATTCAACAGATTTCTGAACCACAGGTAGCATGTGAGAATGAAAAACTGACAAGACCTTGAAACTGGAGAGGACTGGGTTCAAATTCTGACTTAGGGACTTCCCTGGTGGAGCAGTGGTTAAGAATCCACCTGCCAAGGCAGGGGACACGGGTTCGAGCCCTGGTCCGGGAAGATCCTACATGCTGCGGAGAAAGTAAACCCGTGTGCCACAACTACTGAGCCTGTGCTCTAGAGCCCGAGAGCCACAACTACTGAGCCCACGTGCCACAACTACTGAAGCCCACATGCGTAGAGCCCATGCTCCACAACAAGGGAAGCCACCACAATGAGAAGCCGGCACACTGCAATGAAGAGTAGCCCGCGCTCGCCAAAGACAAACAGCTAGACAAAGCCGATGTGCAGCAATGAAGACCCAACTCAGCCAAAAATAAATACATAAATAAATTTAAATAAGTAAATTAATTAATTAATTAAAAAAAATAAAAATTCAAATTCTGACTTAGCCCTTTACTGTATGTGTGATGTTAGTAAAAGGTTGGCTCTCCAAGCCCTAGTTTTCTGTTCAATGTGGATTCCACATGGCTCAATTTCATACTGAAAGAAACAAGGCCTAGTAGCCAAAACGCTTTCAAGAGGAATTCCCATCTTTTTACTTGCTTTTCTCAAAGAACATCCTTTTTAAAAGATCAAATTTGTCACCCACAGCAATACTTAAAACCCTCCTTTTTCTTCTTTCTCATTCTCCCAAAGCTGCTCCAAAGCCCATTCTCCAAACCTCCACAAATCCCTCCTCACCCCTAGTCAGCTTGGCTAGTGTTTTATTTGTACCTTCTTTCTCCCTCCCCCACCCCCTTAGTTCTTTATTATGAATATATGTTCAATTTCAAATTCTCTCCAATTTGCCCTTGGACTGCATTCTCCATAACAAAGGAACCCTGCCCCCCCACCCTGCCGCAAGCCAACATCCTACCCTGCTTCCCCCAGCCTGGACCTATGCAGACTCCCCCTCTCCATTCTCTTAAACTTGATCACAAAAACCTAAGGACCTTCACATCATCTGAAATTTGGCAGAGCCTTTGTAAAGTTAATTTTTCTCCAAAGATGGATCTTAAAAATGCCTCAACCCCCACAGATCTGGAGCCAAAGTCATGTCAGTTTAACTTGAATGCTCAGTGACTCAAGAAAAGGATTACCAGCAACTTGATATTTTTCCCCTTTAGATTTTTTTCCAGAATAAATTAAATTAGAATCCCTCTCAGTCTTCACTCTTTTTTTTCTTGGCTGTGTCACATGGCTTGTGGGATCTTAGTTCCCCAAACAGGGACTGAACCCCGGCCCTCGGCAGTGAGAGCACAGAATCCTAACCACTGGACTGCCAGGTAATTCCCAATCTTCACTCTTTTAAGTAATATCTATTTTTAAATGATTAGTTGTCAAAAAAGAAAACAAAAACAAAAAAAGCCCAAAGAACCAGAGTAGAA